CAATGACAGCCTTCCCCTATTACACGTCTCAATGACAGCCTTAGCCTATAACACATATCAATCACCGATGCAGAATTCAGAATAGTCAATGCTGGAGGTTGAGAGGGTGTTAGTTACTATTGTAGGTGTATCCCTCCTAGGACGACTCACCACCACATTGATGCCATGGCTGGACTCAGGGATGCATCTGGCCTAAGAGGAAAACAGCAGGGTGACTGCAGCAGCCATAAATATGTTTGTGAGTTAACATAAAATGGCAACTGCCTGCAACACAAGGTATGTTCAATTTTATCACGTTTCGACACATCAAGCAAATCTCTCACAGCCCCTTGTGTACAGCTATAAATTAACAGTATGAAGGAACTGTAATCCAAACAGCAGGCCCACCTTCCATCTCCCACTCAGGTGATATGTGCTGCTGGTTTTGGTGATATGCTCTCCTGATATCATCCAGCAGCAGCATCAGATGATTTAGAGCACTGCAATGACAAGTCACAAGACAACCTTTTTCTTGACTCTGGTGAGTTTATACAGGATGAAATCATTCAGAGAAATAAATAAAAACTACTCGCTACAGTAGCCTATAACCACACTATATAACCTTGAAAATCAAATGTAATGGTAAGTCTGACTGATGATAAGTATTGATGCATGTGAAACAACTGTCTTACAGGGATTGGCAATGATGGGCATGTTTAGAATTGTCCATAGCATCTTCTACAAAATCATGTAAAATATTATAAAATAGATAACATTTTTACAGCATCATTTGTGGAAATGCATGCTGTCAAATAAAATATTGCATTATAATTTTCTTACACACATACAGTACCAGTCAAAAGTTTGGACACACCTACTCATTCAAGGGGGTTTTCTTTATTTTTACTATTTTCTACATTGTAGAATAATAGTGAAGACATCAAAACTATGAAATAACACATATGGAATCATGTAGTAAGCAAAAAAGTGTTAAACAAATCAAAATATATTTTATATTTGAGATTCTTCAAAGTAGCCACCCTTTGCCTTGATGACAGCTTTGCACACTCTTGTCATTCTCTCAACCAGCTTCATGAGGTAGTCACAGATGTGCCTTGTTAAAAGTTAATTTGTGGAATTGCTTTCCTTCTTAATGCATTTGAGCCAATCACCAAGAAGGAGAGTGATGGAGTGCTGCATCAGCTGACCTGGCCTCCACAATCTCCCAACCTCAAGCCAATTGAGATGGTTTGGGATGAGTTGGACCGCAGAGCAGGGACGGCTTGTTCAATAGGGCGATATGGGCGACGCACTGCCAAACGGGAAAAGGAAGGGATTTTTTTTCTAATCAATTATATCACGGCAACAGCAGTTATCAGTGTTCACGTCTGATCTGCCAGCCACTAAATGTCAAATCAGGCTAAAGTCGTGCTTCAAATGGCCCCGCCCGTTTTTGGGGCGATTTCAGTCAAGTTGAAAATCGCCCAGAAGTCTCTCATAGCCTGTCATGTAAAATCTATTTTTTTCACATTTCAAAGCTTTCAATACATTCTCTATGGGTGTCTGTGGGCTTGCACTTACGCGCTTTCGTCATACGTGACGTAACGTTGAACGTAACTAAGACAATGGCGGCTAGAAGCGTCTCTGTTGCGACCTGCAGTGCGGCGTTATTTTATGTTTTTAATTTGTAGACTTAGTTTACAAACATTCTGCCAACCATGGATTTCCAGTGGTTGGTTTTGGACTGATCTTGTTGATCGTGTACATACCCGCTACGAACGGACTAAATAATGAAAACGCTGCTGGCAGCTGAATCCCAATACAGCTGGGAGACTTGGCTGGATGAGTCCCGGACAGAGAAGTGGAGCCGGCCACCTTCACCCTGGTCAGAGCGGACCGCGATCCTGGTAAGAGAGCGACTCTGTACCCCGACATTGAACTGCTTTCTGTGTCATTGCGACCTTACTATCAATTCAATTCAATTTAAGGGCTTTATTGGCATGGGAAACGTGTGTTAACATTGCCAAAGCAAGGGAAGTAGATAGTAAACAAAAGTGAAATAAACAATAAATATTAACAGTAAACATTACACTCAGAAGTTTCAAAAGAATAAAGACATTTCAAATGTCATATTATGTATATATACAGTGTTGTTACAATGTGCAAATAGTTAAAGTACAAATGGGAAAATAAATAAACATAAATATGGGTTGTATTTACAATGGTGTTTGTTCTTCACTGGTTGCCCTTTTCTTGTGGCAACAGGTCACAAATCTTGCAGCTGTGATGGCACACTGTGGTTTTTCACCCAGTAGATAAGGGAGTTTATCAAAATTGGGTTTGTTTTCGAATTCTTTGTGGATCGCTGTAATCTGAGGGAAATATGTGTCTCTAATATGGTCATACATTTGGCAGGAGGTTAGGAAGTGCAGCTCAGTTTCCACCTCATTTTGTGGGCAGTGTGCACATAGCCTGTCTTCTCTTGAGAGCCAGGTCTGCCTACGGCGGCCTTTCTCAATAGCAAGGCTATGGTCACTGAGTCTGTACATAGTCAAAGCTTTCATTAAGTTTGGGTCAGTCACAGTGGTCAGGTATTCTGCCACTGTGTACTCTCTGTTTAGGGCCAAATAGCATTCTAGTTTGCTCTGTTTTTTTGTTTGTTCTTTCCAATGTGTCAAGTAATTCTCTTTTTGTTTTCTCATGATTTGGTTGGGTCTAATTGTGTTGTTGTTGTTGTTGTTGTTGTTGTTGTCCTGGGGCTGTGTGGGGTCTGTTTGTGTTTGTGAACAGAGGCCCAGGACAAGCTTACTTAGGGGACTCTTCTCCAAGTTCATCTCTCTGTAGGTGATGGCTTTGTTATGGAAGGTTTGGGAATCGCTTCCTTTTAAGTGGTTACTATCTGCCCCGTGAGTTCCCCCAATTGTTTGTTACCGTTGTGTACTGTTGATAATCACAAGTTTACTGGAGAACTGAGACCAAGTAGAGACTTTGGACAGGGTGGATATGGTATAATAAAGGCAGTTTATTCAGAGGTAAAGATATCTGGAATCGCGTGCACGGACTCGTGCACGTGTGTAGGTCACCTAAATCATCAGAAAAATTGCCCCTCCTGAGAATTTTTTCAGGAGCCGCCACTGCCGCAGAGTGAAGGAAAAGCAGTGAACAAGTGCTCAGCATATGTGGGACTCCTTCAAGACTGTTGGGAAAGCATTCCAGGTGAAGCTGGTTGAGAGAATGCCAAGAGTGTGCAAAGCTATCATCAAGGCAAAGGGTGGCTATTTGAAGAATCTCAAATATAAAATATATTTTCCATATGTGTTATTTCATAGTGTTGATGTCTTCACTATTATTCCACAATGTAGACAATAGTAAAAATAAAGAAAACCCAGTGAATTAGTAGGTGTGTCCAAACTTTTGACTGGTACTGTATATATACACATATTTATTTATTTTATTCACTTGAGTCTTTTGTCAGACTAGCTGTGTTTCCATCCAATTGGCGACAGGTTTGTATGCGAATAGGCATAAAAACAATATGCGCATTTTCCCACCAGAGATGTTTCCATCAATTTGACTTATTGGAGTTTAAAGGCTGTGCATGATGACATAGTGCATATAAAAATACATTTTGCGGTTAAATTCCCATGTACCAAATAAAAAAACGAAAGTTAAATGGGTTTCCATCACCTTTAAAACAAAGGAGCATCAAGCTCAACCTTGTACTTTCATCACCCTGTGAAGTTCATCATAATTTATTTTATCTGTAAATTCATAGGCCTAAACTGCATGATTTCCCGAAAAGTCGTAGTGAGAGGACCACACAATCACAAATGTCATCGTGTGACTCCCAAGTTTACTTTGATATGATTTGATTTGATGGTTATTATATCAATATTTGCGCATACAAGCGTTTCCACCGACATTTCTCGCATAATTTATTTTACCGACACAAAAAGATTCCACCTTTTACCGGGAAACGTTCTGTTTCCATCCATCAATCCTCTCATAAAATGTTGTCTCCGACATGTAGCCTATACTTTACTCCATAAAAGGGTTGGATGGAAACCTGGTTACTGACAGCTCTCGAGCGCCAATACACTTTGACAAATTTGTTCGATTAACCAATAGTTTATTACCATGGGCGTGTCCAGACATCCAAACGTTTCCCGGTAATTTAGACGACAGCTAGCAAAAGGTCGGTATCAATATTGAGAAGAAAGTCCTCCAAACGCATGTAAAATCAGCATACGTTGATGAAAATAAGGTTTGGAGTTCTGTTTGACTAGTAAAGAACGTACGACGCAACGAAATAAGCATTTAAGTTCCTAAAAATGAGTTTACCTCGGCTCCCGTTTTTCCCCCGGTGCATGTGCTTGTAATCAAAAGCAAGCATGCTAGCTAGCTAATGACGCACCTGTTAACATTCATTCGCTTTTGCTAAAATATAAATTGCTAGTTATTGCAATATTGAATTTACCTTTGATGTTGGTGTGAAATGTAACCATCTAGCTAGTAGTTATTAGTCTCATACATTTTAGGGAGAAAATACACAGGCAGGTAGCTAGCTATTCCAACATGGGGTGTATTCGTTATGGAAACCATTTAATATTTTGTAAGTTTGGTGTAAACGGTTTCTGTTGCAAAACGTTTTGCAACAGAATCGGCTTAATGATTACACCCCTTGGCTGCAACCGCTTGCGCGAGCATCAAGATTGACATTGCAACTTTTGCCCTGATGTTAACGATAATTGGCTTGGTGATTGTACTCAACTCAAAGGTGGTTGTCCCTCTGATTGAGTTAGCTACACTCAGCAAGATCCTTCCTGTCTTTTGCCCCATCAATATGTCTATCATAAACGTTTTGATACTAGCAAAGTAGCTTGTTCTTTCATTACGACAAAATACAAATGACATGCCATCTGGAGCCTTCACATGTTTTAGCAAGTTTCCATAAATCCTCTTGCCAATAAGCTTTTTCATTTGCACCTCACAGGCATTGCATGTGAGAGGGGCTAGCTGGAATGGATCCAAAGAAGCCTCGTTTCCCAGGCCTCCCTGGTGCGACCCGCTTGCCTTGGCTGCAGCAGCAGGCATGGGGGCGAGGACTGCGGTCAGATGAGCCAGCAATAGGACGAGCCAGAGGCCTGCTGTTTGCAGCAGATGGGTCTGCTGGCTTAGGACGAGCCAGGGGTTTCACCACCCCTGGTGATACACCGCTTATGCAGTACGGGAGAGGAGTGCCCTTCCCAGTGAGCGAGCCCTCCATTGGCTTTGCCAGGGGGATACCCATGCCTACATCAGAAGATGGTGGACTTAGCCGCGCTAGAGGGCGGCTTCTCTCGACAGCTGAGCCGACAGTAGGTGTGGCAAGAGGGGCACCCCTTCTTGCTTTGGGGCCTCACCCCGGACAAGCCCCTCCAGGTCAACCTGAAGAGATGCCAAGTCTGCAGGCAGAAGAGGAAGTAGTAACCAAGCAGGTTTGTGTTGTGTTCCTTGGGGTTAGTAAAGTCTTTCTCCTAACTTCTACCAAGACCAGGGTTCAAGGTGGTTTCCATTTATGGGACTATTCTATTAGTTCCATTGCACCAGGCAAGCTCAATCAAGGGCAGATGAAGTATTAGAGATTTTTTTTTTTTAATACCATTTGAGCTAAGTTTTTTTTTCTCTTATAGCTCTTGTAACGATATTGTAATTGGCAGGTGGACATGCCCACCCAAGGCCAGGGGTCGTCGCTGGTGTCCATGTTCAGAGGCTTGGGGATCGAGCCCTCAAAGACCTGGGGCAGGGGAGCGCCGCCAGTGGGTGAGTAATCTTGAGTTTATGAAACACTAGAGCTGTGTTCGAATACCCCATACTAACATACTGTATACTACATACTTAATGAGTATATACTACATACTATATACTATTAGTTCATTTTAGTATACTGTAAACAAACGGTATTGTTTCAGTTGAGCGTACGAGCGCTTCGCCTGTCTACCGGAAGTTGATGCTGTTGATATGCAACCTCTTGCTAGCTTGTTAGCATAACAAATGACTAGCTAGACATTTTACGATTTCGGGTGTGTTCGTAAATTCAATCTGGAGTGTCAGAGTGCGCTCTGGGCGTTCGTAGATCCAGAGCGTTGTCAGATTGTCCGTTAGTAAATTCAGAGCGTTCAGAGCGCACACTGGACGCTTTGGCGGAGGAGTAGGGTTGATCCGAGTGTTCAACGGCAGTCAAGCACCCAAGCTAACGTTGGCTAGCTACTTCCAGACACAAATGAGAGAACACCTCACTGACCATTTTACTCGCCCTAGCAGAGCTGGTTAGGCTGTTTTCATGTTTTCCAGAGTGTTGGTGACTGTAACTGTTGTTAAGTTGCGTCAATTCAAATCTGGTATTGGAACAAAAGAGGTCAACACGTCTTCTAAAATAGACTAGTATTTTAATTAATGCAAAACACTTCAATGGTAAATATGATGTTCGTATATACGGGTCCACTGAAATACCACGCAGGGCAGACAGAGAACTGGTCCATTTGTTATAAGTTCTTCTTTAAATACTCTTGACAGAGATATTTCCCGCTCCCTGCTGGCCTATCAGAGTAGAGACTGAGCGTGTTTTAGACTTACTCAGCCTATCGTTGGCGCACAGGCTGGTCCCAGCCCCTTGGCGCTTCACTGTTGCCAGGCATTAATTGTTATCTCCACAACTTGTCCCGAGTCAGCAACCTCAGACATCTTTGTAGCAGAACACATGTCCTTGAGCGGTCTAACAAAGAGGCAGTGTGTGTATGTGAGACACAAGTCTGTCTCGGCCTACCCCCTAATAGTTCCTCACAAAAATCACAGCTTGCTATGTTGACCAATCTATATCAGTACAGCACAAACCTATTATGTTTAATCATTAATGTATTCTTTCTAAGCTAGGCATCACATCTAGTTATAAGAAAATAGATCCCCACACTGTGCTGCTGGCAACAATTTAATTATGCTTTTTTTGGCCGACATTTACTGACACCGGCAATATTCAACGGGTGTTGAGCGTTCGTAAATTCATCAGTTATTCTGTGCTCTGGCACACTCAGACGAGCGTGCTATGAAATTGGAGTAGATAGCCAGAATTAACAATGTCCATTGAAACACACAACGACTATACCACTTAGCTAAGAATGTGAATAATCAAGTCAATAAACGTTGGGTAGTTAGTTAGATAGCAGATAGTTAATATACTGTCTGGCAAGTTCGATGTATTAGTAGCCAACTAACGTTAGGTAACTAGGTAACTAGCTAACATACTGCTGTAATGCAATGCAGTTTGTAAGGACAGCGTAGCTAACAAATTGTCAGCCAACGTAATGTAACTTAGTTGAAAAGTCATTACTTTATTACATTGCTCAACATTTTCTTAACATTTGTCATAATTAGTTAAAGCAATGAATTTGTATCTGCTCCAGTCAGACTTCGGCTGCATATTTTCCGCCAGTTTCTTCAAATCTGAAAATGTTATGAAGCCACGCCCATTTTCTGAAGTATTGCATTATGGGCCCTAAAAGCACAGAAATAGGGTCCACTGCTTGTATACTTCATATTTTGGCAAATTTAGTACGACATCCGGGAACTTTTGGCATACTATATCCATACTATGACCAATAAGCATACTATATACTCAATTCACGTCACAAATAGTACAGTTAGTGCAGTTAGTATGAGTATTCGAACACAGCTCAGGTTTGTATTCCAAATGGCACCCCATTCCCTATGTAGTGCACTACTTTTGACCAGGGCCCATAGTATGGGGGCAGATCAAAAGTAGTGCACTACGTAGGGAATAGGTTGCCATTTGGGACACGGCCTAGAGATTAAGGCATACTGGATCAAACTAACTGGGAAGATATCAAGTTTTACCCTCAAGCTCAAATGGCATGGGTTAAGAGTAATGGTTAGCCTTTACATTTAATAAAGTAGAAGATTGGAAATCAATCATATTGATGCACTCTGATTAGGGCTGGGCAATATGGCCTAAAAATCATATCGCACATTTTTTTTTCAAACTTATGGGCGATTCACGAGAGAGAGTTTTAAAAATGTTTTCTCTAAATAAGCGTTGTTGCACAATTAAAGGTCAAATACACTGCCTTTTAAACAGTCAGCAATAATCTGAATTCAGGAAAAATACATTATATATACAAAAGTATGTGGACACCCCTTCAAATTGGTGGATTTGGCTATTTCAGCCACACTTGTTGCTGACAGGCGTATACAATCGAGCACACAGCCGTATAATCTCCATAGAAAAATATTGGCAGTAGAATGGCCTTACTGAAGAGCTCAGTGACTTTCAACGTGGCACCGTCATAGGATTCCACCTTTCCAACAAGTCAGTTTGTCACATTTATATATATACACCTGTTCTGTAACATGCTGTCTAGAACGGGCACGCACACATGTTGATTTTTTCCATCCACACCAGACGCGGTCAGGACACGCAGGTTGACATATCCAAACGAACTCTGAACCAACAATATTAATTTGGGGACAGGTCGAAACGCATGAAACATTCATGGCCATTTAGCTAGCTAGCTTGCTGTTGCTAGCTAATTTGTCCTGGGATATAAACATTGGGTTGTTATTTTACCTGAAATGCACAAGGTCCTCTACTCTGACAATTAATCCACAGATAAAAGGGTAAACCCAGGTAGTTTCTAATAATCTCTCCTCTTTCAGTCTTCTTCTTTGGACTTTATATGGCTGTTGGCAACCAACTTTAAGGCGCATTAACACAACCAACTGGACTGGAGTGTGGACCTCAGTTCATCTTTCAATCACCCACGTGGGTATATGCTCCTAAAAACCAATGAGGAGATGGGAGAGGTGGAACTTGCAGCGTGTCAAGCGTCAAAAATAGAACCAAGTTCTATTTTAGCGCCTGGCTACGCAGACGCTCGTTGGGGCCCGCGAGCAGTTTGGATGAAATGATTGAATAAGATGTATGTGTACATTTATTTTGGTCAGCATGTAAGTGCTGTTATTGTGAAGTGGAAACGTCTAGGAGCAACAATGGCTCAGCCGTCAAGTGGTAGGCCACACAAGCTCACAGAACGGGACCGCTGAGTGCTGAAGCACGTAAAAATCGTCTGTCCTCGGTTGCAACATTCACTACCGATTTCCAAACTGTTTCTGGAAGCAACGTCAGCACAATAACTGTTTGTCGGGAGCTTCATGAAATGGGTTTCCATGGCTGAGCAGCCGCACACAAGCCTAAGATCAACATGCGTAATGCATGAGTGGTGTAAAGCTCGCCGTCATTGGACTCTGGAGCAGTGGAAACGCGTTCTCTGGAGTGATGAATCATACTTCACCATCTGGCAGTCTGACGGACAAATCAGAGTTTGGCGGATGCCAGGAGAACGCTACCTGCCCGAATGCATAGTGCCAACTGTAAAGTTTGGTGGAGGAGGAATAATAGTCTGGGGCTGTTTTTCATGATTCGGGCTAGGCCCCTTAGTTCCACTGAAGGGAAATCTTAACGCTACAGCATACAATGAATACTTTTTGGGATTAATTACAATGCCGACTGCGAGCTAGGCCTAATCGCCCAACATCAGTGCCCAACCTCACTAATGCGCTTGTGGCTGAATGGAAGCAAGTCCCCGCAGCAATGTTCCAACATCTAGTGGAAAGCCTTCCCAGTAGAGTGGAGGCTGTTATAGCAGCAAAGGGGGGACCAACTCCATAATGATGCCCATGATTTTGCGTTTCTATTGGCTTATTTTGGACCCTGCCTGCCTTCCCGCCTTAAGGACAACCACTCCCATTGTTAGGGTGGCGACATGTGCATCTCATCATTATCTACAGATCTCTGGTGTAAATGGGAAGGTGCACACAGCACAGGAGACAAGACCAAAAAGACAACATGAGAACAAGAGGACATAAACACTAATAAAATAGGAATTAGGAATAATGCGCAAAAACATAAACTCTGATGCACTAAAGTTAAACCATTTTTGGTACGCAATAAATAGATTTGCCTTATCCAACATACAGTGCCTTGCAAAAGTATTCATCCCCCTTGGCGTTTTTCCTATTTTGTTGCATTACAACCTGTAATTTAAATGGATTTTTATTTAATGTAATGGACATAAACAAAATAGTCCAAATTGGTGAAGTGAAATGAAAAAATTCAAAAAAATTAATAACGAAAAAGTGGTGCGTACATATGTATTCACCCCCTTTGCTATGAAACTCCTAAATAAGATCTGGTGCAACCAATTACCTTCAGAAGTCACATAATTAGTTTTAAAAAGTCCACCTGTGTGCAATCTAAGTGTCACATGATCTGTCACATGATCTCAGTATATATACACCTGTTCTGAAAGGCCCCAGAGTCTGCAACACCACTAAGCAAGGGGCACCACCAAGCAAGCGGCACCATGAAGACCAAGGAGCTCTCCAAACAGGTCAGGGACAAAGTTGTGGAGAAGTACAGATCGGGGTTGGGTTATAAAAAAATATCAAAAACTTTGAACATCCCACGGAGATCCATTATTAAAAAATTGAAAGAATATGGCACCACAACAAACCTGCCAAGAGAGGGCCGCCCACCAAAACTCACGGACCAGGCAAGGAGGGCATTAATCAGAGAGGCAACAAAGAGACCAAAGATAACCCTGAAGGAGCTGCAAAGGACCACTTTCAGCCGTATACTCCACAGAGCTGGGCTTTACGGAAGAGTGGCCAGAAAAAAGCCATTGCTTAAAGAAATAAATAAGCAAACACGTTTGGTGTTTGCCAAAAGGCATGTGGGAGACTCCACAAACATATGGAAGAAGGTACTCTGGTCAGATGAGACTAAAATTGAGCTTTTTGGCCATCAAGGAAAACGCTATGTTTGGCGCAAACCCAACACCTCTCATCACCCCGAGAACACCATCCCCACAGTGAAGCATGGTGGTGGCAGCGTCATGCTGTGGGGATGTTTTTTATCGTCAGGGACTGGGAAACTGGTCAGAATTGAAGGAATGATGGATGGCGCTAAATACAGGGAAATTCTTGAGGGAAACAGAGATTTGAGACTGGGACGGAGGTTCACCTTCCAGCAGGACAATGACCCTAAGCATACTGCTAAAGCAACACTCGAGTGGTTTAAGGGGAAACATTTAAATGTCTTGGAATGGCCTAGTCAAAGCCCAGACCTCAATCCAGTTGAGAGTCTGTGGTATGACTTAAAGATTGCTGTACAGCAGCGGAACTCATCCAAATTGAAGGAGCTGGAGCACTTTTGCCTTGAAGAATGGGCAAAAATCCCAGTTGCTAGATGTGCCAAGCTTATAGAGACATACCCCAAGAGACTTGCAGCTGTAATTGCTGCAAAAGGTGGCTCTACAAAGTATTGACTTTGGGGGGGGTGAATAGTTATGCACGCTCAAGTTCTCTGTTTTTTTGTCTTATTTCTTGTTTGTTTCACAAGAAAAAATATTTTGCATCTTCAAAGTGGTAGGCATGTTGTGTAAATTAAACCCCCCAAAAATCCATTTTAATTCCAGGTTGTAAGGCAACAAAATAGGAAACATGCCACGGGGGGGGGGGGAATAGTTTCGCAAGCCCCTGTAGCCTCTAAGTTCTAGGCACTCCGTGACCGAATCAAATAGTAATTTTAGCTTTAAAATATTTAGTGAGCTTGCTTGATTTCCTTAAGCTCCAACTGAGTCCTCAGGATGGAGGAGATTGATGAATCCATTAAATCCCCTGGTGTGTTTTTCACTGGTGTTTGGTGCAGGGAGGGGTGCTTTTGGAGCAGAGCTCAAACCACAGACAGCCCCTGTTGGAGCGGTGGCAATCGCCGGCCCGGGTGGAGATGGATTCCCTGAGGACATGATGGGCCAAGGTAGCAGGTGAGGAGGTGATGAGTTCAAACCCTGCGGCTTAACCTGTGGCTAAAGCAGGCCAATTCCTCCATGTTACTAAGGTCCTTAGGGACCTGGCAGTAATGCTTCTAGAATGCGTTGTTCATGCTGTGCACATACACAGGTACCTCTCGCATATCTCCATTCTCCTCATTTATATGCCCATCTCATTTCAAATTATTATTGAATTATCCATTGTTAATGTGGAGGTAATCAGACTTTTTGGTGTGCATGTGACTGTCATTGTCACAGTTCGTTCATGATAATTCAAAGACAACTAGGCCAGATAATAAAAATATATACTTTTTTCTTTCGAAAAATGGATAAGCAGTAAGATTGATTCGATAACAGAACTTATTATTAATGTTGAATAGCAAATTGCCTTTTTTTTCTCTACATATTATTTAACACACACTTATAGTTGGGAATTACGTGTTTTTTTTTTTTTACTAAGAACTTGTAATGTGTCTGTCTCTGTCTGCAGCTTCCTTGGCCGAGGTGTACCATCTCAGATGGAAGGAATGGGGCAAGCATCGATGCCCCTCTTGGGTACTGGAAGGGGGCCCACTGTGCCCCCTGCTCTCCCTCCTTGCCCTATCCCTTCCCATCCTGTCTCCCCCGATGCCCCTCTTCCCCCTCCAGCCCCACCCAACGAGGCCCACATGACTCCAGGTAGCTCTCCAACCAAGGGAAAAATTAAGATGGAGGCCACCTGGTAAGTACCATCCAAGTACCATTATTTGTGAAACCATGTTATGAAACCGTCTATTATTATGAAGTAAATGATGTTGCTTTAAATGTTACTGTTGTTGAAGGCAGTCAAATGAGGCAGAAATTAATTTATGTCAATTATGAATTGTGTTTTATGACTAACTATTGTTAGGCCTAGTCATTGAAAGGTTATTTCCTCTCCCTTTGCAGTGAAACATTGCACAAGACTGGTACCAAAGGAACACCATTGGCCATAGGCTCGAACCACATCACCATTCGCTGCAGGAACGAGGCAGTCTATCAGTACCATGTCACTTTCATGTAGGTACATGTATTAGGAAAAAAGTGTTACATTCATATTTTACGCAGCATTCCTGGGTAAAATATCTACTCTGGAAATATAATTTGGTCTGTTGAAGAGGAGTAACTTATTACATTTTGTCCCACTTTTCAGTCCCAACGTGGAGTCGATGGGTATGCGATTTGGCATGATGAAGGACCATCGCCCCACCACTGGGGAGGTTGTTGCGTTTGACGGCTCAATTCTCTACCTCCCTGTGAAAATGGAAGAGGTAGGTCACTTTTCTCTGATGTCTGTGACTGTAGATGTGTATTAGTTATGTGCAAATAATTGGCTTATACTTATAAATACACAATATGGGAATAGCTGCTTACAGAATTGATGAGTGTAGAGTTATAGTAACTGTGTATTTTCACTCAACTAGACCCAACGTTAACGCTCAATACCGATGTGGCACATAGTGCAGCTACACTCCTGTCTTTAGCCATCTTCTCCTCTGTGCCCCCTGTTGTGGTCTAATCTTTCCTCCATACAGGTGGTTCACCTGAAGAGTGAGAGACGAACTGACAACCAGGAGGTTGACATCAAGGTCCAGATGACTAAGATCCTGCCACCCAACTCTGACCTGTGCATCCCCTTCTACAACGTGGTGCTGAGAAGGTAACAGAGCCGTCCGTATTCATTAGGGCAAAACTTAGCCATCATTAGGGCACACCGTAGCAAAATATTTTACAATGGAAAACAATGTTTCTTATTGGACAAGTTCAGGTAGTCCCTCCCTGTTTCAGTCTGGTGGCTTCCATTTTCAATCTAATAAATACACCCTGGTGCTGCAATATGAACCGCTAATTGTCTACCACTAATTGACCTCTTCACTTTAAATTAGGAGAAATTGGGGGTGTTTTTCAACAAAAGGCCTGTGGTCTACCTATGAGGGAAGTTCTCTGTGGGAAGCTGGCCTTAGTGCAGCCATATTGTCAGTCAGTAGCTAATCTCTTCTCATCTATTGTGCTTGCTTGATGGCTTCATGTAAAAACATGCTTTGATGGGCTTCAGTTGTTTTACACACAAAACTAGACTTCTTTTAAAACATTCAATTTCCCTCTAAATCCTGAAGCTTTTTCACTGAAGTAGCGAATTATACACTGAACAAAAACATAAACGCAACATGTAAAGCTGATTAAACAGCATGATCATTACACAGGTGCACCTTGTGCTGGAGACAAAGGCCACTCTAAAATGTGCAGTTTTTATCACAACACAATGCCGCAGATGTCTCAAGTTTTGAGGGAGCGTGCAATTGGCATGCTGACTGCAGGAATGTCCACCAGAGCTGTTGCCAGAGAATGTAATGTTCATTTCTCTACCAGAAGCTGCCTCCAACATCGTTTTAGAGAATTTGGCAGTACGTCCAACCGGCCTCACAACCGCAGACCACTTGTAATGCGTTGTGTGGGCGAGTGGTTTGCTGATGCCAATGTTGTGAACAGATTGCTCCATGGTGGCAGTGGGGTTATGGTATGGGTAGGCATAAGCGAACACCATTGCATTTTATTGATGGCAATTTGAATGCACAGAGATACCGTGACAAAGTCCTGAGGCCCATTGTCGTGCCATTCATCTCCCGCCATCACCTCATGTTTCAGCATGATAATGCACGGCCCCGTGTCGCAAGGATCTGTACACAATTCTTGGAAGCTGGAAATGTCCCAGTTCTTCCATGGCCTGCATACTCACCAGACATGTCACCCATTGAGCATGTTTGTGATGCTCTGGATCGACGTGTACAACAGCGTGTTCCAGTTCCTGCCAATATCCAGCAACTTCACACAGCAATTGAAAAGGAGTGGGACAACATTCCACAGGCCACAATCAACAGCCTGATCAATTGTGTTGCGCTGCATGAGGCAAATGGTGGTCACACCAGATACTGACTGGTTTTCTGATTCACGGCCCTACCTTTTTTTTAAGGTACACTACATAGCCAAAGGTATGTGGACACCTGCTCGTCGAACGTCTCATTCCAAAATCATGGGCATTAATATGGAGCTGGTCCCCCCCCTTTGCTGCTATAACAGCCTCCACTCTTCTGGGAAGGCTTTCCACTAGATGTTGGAACATAGGGACTTGTTTCGAGTCAGCCACAAGCATTCGTGAGGTCGGCACTGATGTTGGGCAATTAGGCCTGGCTAGCAGTCGGCGTTCATCCCAAAGGTGTTCGATAAGGTAGAGGTCAGGGCTCTGTGCAGGCCAGTCAAGTTCTTTCACACCGATCTCGACAAACCATTTCTGTATGGACCTCGCTTTGTGCACGGGAGCATTGTCATGCTGAAACAGGAAAGGGCCTTCCCCAAACTGTTGCCACAAGGTTGGAACCACAGAATTGTCTAGAATGTTTGTATGCTGTAGCGTTAAGATTTCCCTTCACTGTAACTAAGGGGACTAGCCCGAACCATGAAAAACAGTCCCAGACCATTATTCCTCCACCAAACTTTACAGTTGACACTACGCATTCGGGCAGGTAGCATTCTCCTGGCATCCGCCAAACCCAGATTCGTCCGTCGAACTGCCAGATGGTGAAGCGTGATTCATCACTCCAGAGAACGCGTTTCCACTGCTCCAGAGTCCAATGGCTGCGAGCTTTACACCACTCCAGCCGACGCTTGGCATTGCGCACGGTGATATTAGGCTTGTGTGCGGCTGCTCGGCCATGGAAACCCATTTCATGAAGCTCCCGACGGAACAGTTCTTGTGCTGACGTTGCTTCCAGAGGCAGTTTGGAACTCGGTAGTGAGTGTTGCAACCGAGGACAGATGTTTTTTACGCGCTTCAGCACTCTGCGGTCCTGTTCTCTGAGCTTGTGTGGCCTACCACTTCTCGGCTGAGCCGTTGTTGCTCCTAGATGTTTACTCTTCACAATAACAGCACTTACAGTTGACCGGGGCAGCTCTAGCAGGGCTGAAATTTGACGAACTGACTTGTTGGAAAGGTGGCATCCTATGACGGTGCCACGTTGAAAGTCAGTGAGCTCCTCAGTAAGGCCATTCTACTGCCAATTGTTGTCTATGGAGATTGCATGGCTATGTGCTCGATTTTATGCACCTGCCAGCAACGGGTGTGGCTGAAATAGCCGAATCCACTAATATGAAGGGGTGTCCACATCCTTTTGGCCATGCAGTGTATATGTGATCAAAATATGCATATCTCTTTATTCCCAGTCATGTGAAATCCATAGAATAGGGCCTAATTTATTTATTTCAATTGACTGACTACCTTATATGAACTGTAAGTCACTAAAATCTTTGCATGTTGCGTTTTATATTTTTGTTTAGTATACAAATATGTAACCCCCCCCCCCCCCAAAAAAAAAAAGACGTCTTGCTGGCTACACCAAACGTGAACTTTGTCTGGTGCAATGAGACATTAATGTTCTCCCCCTGTGTGTTGTCAAGGGTAATGAAGATCCTGGGACTGAAGCTTGTGGGGCGGAATCATTACGATCCAAAAAGCGCAGTCATACTTGGGAAACATCGGTAAGTAATTAGATTTGCCCTCAGATCGAGAAATTATACTCCAACTGAAATCTCAATGATAATAGCAGCTGACTCAAGCCGCTTGGTTTCTGTCTTCTGTTAACCTAGGCTGCAGGTGTGGCCAGGTTACTCGACGTGCATAAAGCACACTGACGGAGGCCTGTACCTCCAGGTGGATGTGTCCCACAAAGTGCTGCGAAATGACTCTGTCCTCGACTGCATGTGAGATCATTTCAGTGCACCTTACAACACTTAGAACCATGGTTACATTACATCACTGACTAACTTGTGTGATACTCTAAAATATGCATGATAAATCTCTTCTCTTGCCAGCTATTTGTTCACATGGTGTGTATGTCCACATGATGCACTGTCTGCAGTACGTAATGAGTTCATAAACATTTAAACAGGCCATATTTTTACCCCTGGTCATAGACCTATTTACAAATAGCATATTCATTGATACACCATGTATATTTCAACACACATCAATAAGCTTGAATCTGCCTGCTCATAGAGATTTGGACACAGTATGTCTCAACCACTTTAAAACTACCTCAGGGATTTGAGACTGAGGGGTTATGTCTAGGCTAGGGCACTAAAGGGTCACATGCAAGGAAGAAATGGGTTTACATTTTAGTCATTTAGTAGACGCTCTTTTCCAGAGCGACTTAGTTAGTGCATTCATCTTAAGATAGCTAGGTGAGACAACCACATATTATAGTAAGTACATTTTTCCTCAAAGTAGTTATCAGCAAAGTCAGTGCTAGTATAAAAAGACAAGTGCGAGTGTTATTCCCTTGTTTTTTGTCTTTTGTTGTTTTTTTTACTTGGAGGTTATAAATGGGCTGACATGCAGGCCATAAATGGGGTGATTTTCAGTCCAAATTGGGGTGATTTGCAGGGCCCTGATTGGTGACCTTTGACTTTTTGACCCCTCTGCCTTCCAGGAACGTGATCTACCAGCAAAGCAGGGAGAGCTTCCAGGATGAGTGCACCAAAGAGCTGATCGGCAGCATTGTCATCACCCGATACAACAACCGCACCTACCGCATCGACGACATTGAGTGGGGCAAGTCCCCCAAAGACACCTTCACCATGGCCAATGGCTCCACGACCACTTTCGTTGAGTACTACAGGTAAGGCTGTGTGGCATCCATTATGCAGAGTTCTACTAGCGTTAGCGCAATAGCATGCTAGCTGTTCCCATAGACTTCCAGTCATTGAGCCAACAACTATCCATTTAAAAGCGCCTCTGCAGAAATATGTATATATAAAGAAAATTACATATTTTTTTGTAGTGGTGGCAACAATTTAGCAGCTGTGTGAATATAGGGGAAACACTTGTGTGTATTTTTTTTCCTGTAATCTGAACAGCAAAAACTACGGCATCACCATAAAAGAGATGGACCAACCAATGCTTATCCATCGACCCAAAGAGAGGTCCAAGCCTGGGGGAAAGGTAAAACTATTTCTAAGGATATCATGAAATGTAGCTTTATCTTGACATAGTTAACTTTTTGTACTTATTTATTCCATATTCATCTCAAAATAGGATGTTGTCTTTCCTCACACACCCAACTACCCTGAAACAAAATACTTGTCTGTATCCTTGGAACAGAATGACACCTTGTGGCTTGAGTCAGTATTGAGATTAATTTCAACATCTGTTCTACTATCACACATGCTTTATAAGATAGTCCTTTGAGTTTTTATTGAGTTGGATACATTTTCGCCATAAAGATACAATATACATTATATTTAATTGTATGTTTTTGTCTTACAGCAAGTCATAACTGGCGAGATCCTGCTTCTGCCTGAGCTCTCCTTCATGACTGGAATCCCTGACAAAATGAGAAAGGACTTCCGCGCCATGAAGGTAAAATCATTGTGTCGGCAATGCATTCTCCTCCCTGGGGAGTGTTCTATGACATCCACAGTACATGAAGGCAACACAGTTGTTTTGATAAGGCAGCATTTGATAACAATAGTAACCAGCCAATTTGTTTTATTTCAAAGAAATGAAATCAATTGAATAGGGGGGGGGGGGGGGGGGGCAAATACTATATGTACCCAGACACGTCACATAGTAACTGGGGGGGAAAGTCATAGAGTAAATCTATTTCTATGGGTATAGTACTGTATAGAATCTGAAAGTGCCGGTTTTACCATCCCAGGACCTGACGATGCACATCAATGTAAGTAGTGAGCAGCACACTCACTCCCTGAAGCAGCTCCTGAAGAACATCAACACCAACCCAGAGGCCCAGACGGAGCTGGCACGCTGGGGCCTGGAGATCAGCCAAGACATCCTGGTGGTGAGCATACACTGCACAATCAAACAGTACATTTCATTTATCTCAGTGACAAATTAGATGTATAGCTAAAGTCGCACATAGAAAGACAAAATTAACATTTATTTATCTGGTGGTGAGTAGGGTGGGGCTATATCCAGATTTTCATACCTTCATACCGTTCCTGTACCATACCGGGGTATTCGGTATTACCGGCAATGTACACAAGGGGTGCTATTTCTTTACAAAAAAATAAGAAAAACAGCACAAATAAAATTAAGTCATCAGGGATCTTGATCCAGGAGGGGATTAGTTGTCTCTGCTGTAACCAAGAAGCTTGATCTGGCATCTAGCAAGTTAGCAAACCAAATGCATAGCTGGAGCCCTGAGCTGGAGATAATTTATTTGGCGCTATTTCAAAATACCCCAGTATACGGTATATATGGTATACTGCCAAAGCCATAGTGGTGATTAGGGTGACCACATGCCCCGGATTATGCGGGACAGTCCCACATTTTGGCCCTTTGTCCGGCTACCAAACAATCATGTCCCGTATTTTATCAACAAATTCAATAACAACAAATTTAGAAAAAAATGTTAATTTGTCCCGTATTTCAGTCAGACATTCCGACCTGACTCTTGCAGTCATGTTGCGCTTATGAAAACATGCACTATATATACAAAAGTATGTGGACACCCCTTCAAATTTGTGATTTCGGCTATTTCAGCTACACCCATTGCTTACAGGTGTATAAAATTGAGCACACAGCCGTGCAATCTCCAAACATTGGCAGTAGAATGGCTTACTGAAGAGCTGTGACTTTCAACGTGGCACCGTCATAGGATGCCACCTTTCCAACAAGTCAGTTCGTCAAATTTCTGCACTACTAGAGCTGCCCCGGTCAACTGTAAGTGCTGTTATTGTGAGGTGGAAACATCTAGTAGCAACAACTGCTCAGCCGCAAGTGGTAGGCCACACAAGCTCACAGAACGGGACCGCCGAGTGCTGAAGTTGCGACACTCACTACCGAGTTCCAAACTGCCTCTGGAAGCAACGTCAGCACAATAACTGTTAGTCGGGAGCTTCATGAAATAGGTTTCCATGGCCGAGCAGCCGCACACAAGCCTAACATGCTGATCACACTGCCCGCCTCGAGTGCGAGAGCGTTGCAAAATAAATGTACACATACATGTTATTCAATCATTGCACCCACACTGCTCGCGCGTGTCAACGAGCGTCTGCGTAGCCAGGCGCTAAAATAGAACTTGGTTCTATTTGTGACACTTGACGTGCTGCAAGTCCCACCTCTCCCATCTCCTCATTGGTTTTTAGGAGCATATACCCACGTGGGTGATTAAAAGATGAATTGAGGTCCACACTCCAGTCGGTGGTGGTAATGCACCTTAAAGTTGGTTGCCAACCACCATATGAAGTCAGAAGAAGAAGCCTGAAGGAGGAGAGATTACTAGAAACAAACTCTGTTTACCCTTTTATCTGTGGATTAATTGTCGGAGTAGAGGATCTTGTACATTTCAGGTAAAATAACAACCCAATGTTTATATCCCAGGACAAATTAGCTAGCAACATCAAGCTAGCTAGCTAAATTGCCATAAATGTTTAATGCTTTTCAACCTGTCCCCAAATTAATATAGTTGGTTCAGAGTTCGTTTTGATATTTCAACCTGCATGTCCTGATTTGCGTCTGGTGTGGATGGACAAACTCAACATGCACGCGAACGGTGTGGTCAGCATGTAAGATCACCATGCGCAATGCCAAGCATCGGCTGGAATGGCGTAAAGCTCGCCACCATTGGACTCTGGAGCAGTGGAAAAGCGTTCTCTGGAGTGATGAATCAAGCTTCACTATCTGGCAGTCCAACGGACGAATCTGGGTTTGACGAATACCTGCCCGAATGCGTAGTGCCAACTGTAAAGTTTGGTGGAGGAGCAATAATGGTCTGGGGCTGTTTTTCATGGATCGGGCTAGGCCCCTTAGTTCCAGTGAAGGGAAATCTTAACACTACAGCATACAATGACATTCTAGACTTACACTAAATGTAAGTCGCTCTGGATAAGAGCATCTGCTAAATGACTAAAAATGTACAAAAAATTGAAGATTCTGTGCTTCCAACTTTGTGGCAACTGTTTGGGGAAGGCCCTTTCCTGTTTCAGCATGACAATGCCCCCGTGCACAAAGCGAGGTCAATACAGAAATTGTTTTTCGAGATTGGTGTGGAAGAACTTGACTGATCTGCACAGAGCCCTGACCTCAACCCCATCGAACACTTTGGGATGAATTGGAACGCCGACTGAGAGCCAGGCCTAATCGCCCAACATCAGTGCCCGACCTCACTAATACGCTTGTGGCTGAATGGAAGCAAGTCCCCGCAGCAATGTTCCAACATCTAGTGGAAAGCCTTCCCAGAAGAGTGGACGCTGTTATAGCAGCAAAGCTGGGACCAACTCAATATTAATGCCCATGATTTTGGAATGAGCTGTTTGACTAGCAGGTGTCCACATACCTTTGGTATGGATTACTTTATCCTATCTCTTTAAGGAACACCTGGGATAGGATAAAGTAATCCTTCTACACCCCCCCCTTACCCCACCCCCCCAAAAAAAATAAAAAATTATAATAATAATTGTAAAGTGGTTATCCCACTGGCTATAAGGTGAATGCACCAATTTGTAAGTCGCTCTGGATAAGAGCGTCTGCTAAATGACGTAAATGTAAATGTAGTGTATATGACTAGACGTAGGCCAATGTCATAGGCCTATCGTCAACCAATTATATTTCTCAAATCCTTTCGGGCTAAAGTTGGAGAGGACAGTTAGACCTCTTAACTACTTATAAAAACCGTGTTTATGATGAAGAGCTACAAAAGTAGGTAAATATCCATATTAGACTGAAAGGTATATGGTAATTACGTCAAACTTGTGAGGCTCTTGTACTCATTAGTTGCTCATTCAACATATTTGCTGCTACTTCACTCAATCCCGTTTTTAACTCTTCCTTCCTACCTGTTTTACATTCCCTGAGACCAACCAGAAAGGTTTCTTTGGCCAAATATTCCCAGATTTTGTGGTCTCTCGTTTCTGCATCACCAAATTTTGCGCAGCAAAGGAGTAGAGTAGGTGCACTTCAATTGCTCCTTCAGTGCGCAGACTGCTAAGTGTAGTGACACATTCCGCTACTTCTCACAATGGTGCTTGGTTAGTAAAGTTTAGATCAAAGCTGAATCATTGTCTTGGAAGATCACATAATGATTAATTAGTATTCTACATAACCAAATATAATAGCATAGTATAACGCAGGGCCTAAAATTTACTTTTTGGTCTACCAGCCACTGTGGCAGGTACAGTAGATTTTAAAAAATCTACCAGCCACTCAGATTTTTTACCAGGCAAAATAAAAATGTTCGTAGTTAAGTAATAAAAAAAAACACAAACATGACCATGCTGTGTACTATTTCTAAAACAAGAAATGTAAACTCAGCAAAAAAGGAAACATTCTCTCACTGTCAACTGCGTTTATTTTCAGCAAACTTAACGTGTAAATATTTGTATGAACATAACAAGATTCAACCATAAACTGAACAAGTTCCACAGACATGTGACTAACAGAAATGGAATAAGTCCCTGAACAAAGGGGGGGGTCAAAATCTAAAGTAACAGTCAGTATCTGGTGTGGTCACCAGTTGTATTAAGTACTGCAGTGCATCTCCTCCTCACGGACTGCACCAGATTTGCCAGTTCTTGCTGTGAGATGTTACCCCACTCTTCCACCAAGGCACCTGCAAGTTCCCGGACATTTCTGGGGGGAATGGCCCTCACCCTCCGATCCAACGGGTCCCAGACGTGCTCAATGGGATTGAGATCCGGGCTCTTCGCTGGCCATGGCAGAACACTGACATTCCTGTCTTGCAGGAAATCACGCACAGAACGAGCAGTATGGCTGGTGGCATTGTCATGCTGGAAGGTCATGTCAGGAAGAGCCTGCAGGAAGGGTACCACATGAAGGAGGAGGATGTCTTCCCTGTAACGCACAGCGTTGAGATTGCCTGCAATGACAACAAGCTCAGTCCGATGATGCTGTGACTCACCGCCCCAGACCATGACGGACCCTCCACCTCCAAATCGATCCCGCTCCAGAGTACAGGTGTAACGCTCATTCCTTCGACGATAAACGTGAATCCAACCATCACCCCTGGTGAGACAAAACCGCGACTCAGTGAAGATAACTTTTTGCCAGTCCTGTCTGGTCCAGTGACGGTGGGTTTGTGCCCAGATACGACGTTGTTGCCGGTAATGTCTGGTAAGGACCTGCCTTACAACAGGCCTACAAGCACTCAGTCCAGCCTCTCTCTCAGCCTATTGCGGACAGTCTGAGCACTGATGGAGGGATGGTGCGTTCCTGGTGTAACTCGGGCAGTTGTTGTTGCTGCCATCCTATACCTGTCCCGCAGGTGTGATGTTCGGATGTACCGATCCTGTGCAGGTGTTGTTACACGTGGTCTGCCACTGCGAGGACGATCAGCTGTCCGTCCTGTCTCCCTGTAGCGTTGTCTTAGGCGTCTCACAGTACGGACATTGCAATTTATTGCCCTGGCCACATCTGCAGTCCTCATGCCTCCTTGCAGCATGCCTACGGCACGTTCATGCGGATAAGCAGGGATCCTGGGCGTCTTTCTTTTAGTGTTTTTCAGAGTCAGTAGAAAGGCCTCTTTAGTGTCCTAAGTTTTCATAACTGTGACCTTAATTGCCTACCGTCTGTAAGCTGTTAGTGTCTTAACGACCGTTCCACAGGTGCATGTTCATTAATTGTTTATGGTTCATTGAACAAGCATGGGGAACAGTGTTTAAACCATTTACAATGAAGATCTGTGAAGTTATTTGGATTTTTACAAATTATCTTTGAAAGACAGGGTCCTGAAAAGGGGACGTTTCTTTTTTTGCTGAGTTTATTAGTAAGAAGTAATGTGGTATAATGCTCAATTTCATTTTTTGTGACCTGAGTCTTTTAATAATCAAAATATCAGAGAAAAAATCTTCAGCTGCCCCTTTATGGCCTGGAGGTTACCGTGGTAACGGGGCCACTCGAGTCCTATCACGTTTGTTTGTGTGAGATTTGTGATCTGGCTAGGATGTCTCTTCGCTATCAGTTGAAGCAGTAGACTCAAACTAACCTTGTAAAACAACCGAACTTGTGAACAAAACAATGTAAATAGCCAAGAAACACGAGGACAAAGTCTAACTTTGTAGACTGTTGAGTAAAATAGACTGACTTTTATGCCTGTGCCGGTGCCTCCAAAAATGAATCCATCAGCACTTCACTCATTGCGCACATCTCCTATGCCAGGCAGTTTCTGCTCGTGGTGGGATATAGGATTCGTATTTCTTTGTGCAATTAGCAGCTATGAAACAAAAGAGCAGAAATACTTTGAAAACAGGTACTGCAGCATTTTTCTAACCCTAACACGCACGTGTGCTCATACTTGACTTTTGACTATTTTTATTTGCGAATTTAATGCTCTCACTGTAGAGCCCTGCAAATTGACCACCCGCGAACGTGGCTGGTGAAATAGACATTCTTATCCGCCAATACCTAAACCTACCCACATTTGGCAGGTGGCAGGTATTAATTTTATGCCCTGGTATAACATTACTGTTAAGAAATTAGGTGGTGTTTTTGGTTTATGAGATTTTAGAAAAATGATGTAATGTGGCCAAAACTCAACCGCACGCACCACGAGGTAGAATTTGCTTTGATTGAAACAAAATAAAGGAAGGCTATATAGTTTAACACCATCTGCTACACTGACCCGCAAATGTCCCGCAAAATCATCCTGTTTTTGTGCATTTGGGTATTTTAAATGTCGTCACCCTAGTGGTGAGGCTCCACACAGCTCATGACATAATATACAACATGCTCACTCACACATTCTTAAAAAATGGTCAGGTGCTGGGTTGTCGTCAGTGAAATCCATGGAAGGTAAAATGGACAGCAATAGGTCAGTCGTGTGTTTAAATTAAATGCACAGTTAATGATTATGATGCTATGGTTGGGTGTATTGGGCCTGTCCTGTATGCAGAAAACCTCCCAGCACAGCTCCCAGGGGCCACGTTGTAGCTGAGTTTAGCCTTCGAAAAACAACTTAGAAGTAAGAAAAACAAGGCAACCGTAAACATGTCGTCCCCCACAAATGATGCAGCGCCCCCCTTGGGCCAATCAGTGTAATTTAGTAAATGGCGGATCTCTATGGCAAGACCCAAGTTTAGTCAAAATCGGGCCAGTGGTGTCTGCGATTGCGTGGGTTAGCTAGACTCATATCCCTGAGCATGTGTGCCATATTTCATCACACTGAGTCAAACAGATCAAGAGATATAAGCATGTGCCCGTTATAGCACCACAGTGTGGTCTATGAATGTTCTTGCATATGTTGAGTCTTAACAATGTTTGCAGCTTGTGTACCAAATTTAGTTAAAGTACGAATATCCTTCACTGTTCTTCCATCCAGACTACAGGAAGAATTCTGCCCCTGGAAACCATCTGTCTGCAGTCAGCGTCCTTTGTCACCGGAGCTGATGTCAGCTGGTCCAGGGAGGTTATCAGAGATGCTTCCATCAGTTGTGTGAGTCTCAGGGTAAAAGGGTAAAGTACAGCACACTAATGATGTCAGGGGAATGACTAGCTTACCGTAATTTTTGTCTGTACTGCAGTCTGTTTTTGGGTTGATTTAAGGAAATTCAGTCTTCTACGCAGCCACTTAAAACGTGATTTAGTTGAAGAAAAAGAAACGGAGGAAACAAGAAATCAGCCTGGCTCTGGCCAATAATAGTGCATTATATAGGGAATAATGACATTTCAGGCTCACACTTCTCCTCTGGCCCGTTCTGTTTGATTCTCAGATCCCCATGAACTGCTGGGCCATTTTCTACCCGTGGCGCTGTGCCGAGCAGGCCGAGGAGCTAGTGTCCTGCTTTGGGAAGGTGGCCGGACCCATGGGCCTGAGGCTGGATCGCCCCATCCGCGTGGAGCTGAGGGACGACCGCACCGAGACCTACGTCAAGAGCATCCACTCCCAGCTCACTAGTGAAGTAGGACATGACACTACCGCCTCTGAGCACCTTAGAACAGTTTTTTTTGCAAACAATTGTTGTTATTGAATCACAGAAGCTGTATAGGCCATGAAGAGAAATAGAGTACATTTTTCTGAACATTTCCCCAACCTCTGTTTCACCCCAAACCTTTGAGCCTACTTCAAACATTTGACTAGTAAAAATGTGGAGGTTAATTCGTTTCACTAATGTCCCTCAACTTTGTGGTTATTTCTATGATGCTGTTTGAGTTATTCACATCAGTAATACATAAACGCTGGGCGTTGGGAGATTTGTCCTTTCGTTGTAAAGCGCTTTGATGTGGAAAAGTGCTATATAAATCCTATTAAATATGAATCTATTATAATGAGCTTTCTCTTTTTTATCGTGGCCCATTTTTCAGCCCAACGTGCAGTTGGTAGTGTGCATCATGACAGGCAACAGAGACGACCTCTACAGTGCCATCAAGAAGCTGTGCTGCGTCCAGAGTCCTGTGCCCTCTCAGGTTGACTCTGCCACACCTCCAGACAATTCACTATTGATCTTCATTTAGCCAGGATAGTCCACTCCACAACAAACGCACAACATACAGTAAACGTTCAAATAATATGGTTAGGTGCCAGCACTATTTTGCTTAGCCTACACCTCGGCAGTGGTAGAAAAAGTACCAAATTGTCATACTTTTGTAAAAGTAAAGTCACCCAGTAAAATACTACTTGAGTAAAAGTCTAAAATTATTTTGTTTTAAATATACTGAAGTGTCAAAGTAAAAGTATAAATCATTTCAAGTTCCTTATATTGAGAAAACCAGACAGCAATATTTTCTTGTTTTTTAAATTCATGGATAGCCAGGGGCACACTCCAAAACTCAGGTATCATTTACAAACGACACAGTGTGTTTGGTGAGTCTGCCAGATCACATGCAGTAGGGATGACCAGGGATGTTCTCTTAATAAGTGTGTGAATTGGACCATTATCCTGTCCTGCTAAGCATTCAAAATGTAACGAGTACTTCTGGGTGTCAGGGGAAATGTATAGAGTAAAAAGTACATTCTTCAGGAATGTAGTGAAGTAAAAGCAAACTTTGTCAAAAGTTGTATAAATATTAAAGTCGAGATACCCATAAAAAATACTTAAGTAGTACTTTAAAGTATTTTTACTTAAATAGGCCTACTTTACACAACTGCACCAGTTGAGAACAAGTTCTCATTTACAACTGCAACCTGTCCAAGATAAAGCAAAGATCTGTGAATGTTGAAGGTGTAAGGTTCAGGGAAAGAGGCAAGGAACCAAAATTGAGGAAACAGATGTTCAGACAATGTATAGCTTTTGATAAGCACACAAAAGGTTTATCAGCTGCCTAATGCAAAGGTTAATCTAAAATGAAAAATGTTCATCTCTTTGGCTTTGTAGGCCATTAACATCCGGACCATCTCCCAACCCCAAAAGCTGAGGAGCGTTGCCCAGAAAATCCTGCTGCAGATGAACTGCAAACTGGGGGGAGAGCTGTGGACCGTGAATGTCCCTCTGGTTAGTGTTATATTCTTCTCTACTGGTAAGGTTTTGGCTGACGTTGACTGTGTTCTAAGTTTAGGTGTAGGGATGCTATGTGTCCACCAGATGGAGACAGTGGGTTGATGGAGCCAGAGAAACATTCAAGTCAGAATTAAAGCTTTGCATAAGATAAAGAGAGAGAATCAGGATTTCAGAACAAGTCACAAATATCATATTTTATAGTGTAATGTACAAAATAAACACCAATTTACCGTTAAAGAAAGTGACATACAAATGCCAATGGGATAATATAAAACAAGTAGAGTTTATACTGCAAAATGACATTTTCAGTACACAGTCTGAAGAGGTAAGGGGTTTTGTTATTTTTGTCAAGTCAGCTGTTAAAATGTTTTACCTGCCACTCACAGTTCTGGTAAAGGTGGGGCACCTCATTTTACCCTTGGGGAGGCTGGAGCAGAGGAGAGATGTGACCAGGATTATGTGTTGCCATCAGACAGCTACAGGTTGTAGGGCCCTATACAATTCTTGTTGCGGAGAACGTGGGATGGAATCCCAGAATTCAGAGATTAAAACGGAATTCAACAATATTCCAAAATGTATTGAACTTATTAGTAGGAAATCAACTAAATGTAATTTGCCCAAGATTATCATAAAACATGAATAATATGCATCAGTGATTTGTATTTTCCTTCAACTTTCTGAAGAGGTAACGGCCCCTGTCTGTGTGTGCGTTTGTCTACCACTTTGTGTAGCTGTTATCGATGATGCTAACGTAATGACAACCGTCTTCTGGTAGATGGAAAGACTTTCCCTAAAACCTTCTCAATTAAATGTTAACTACAAAGTAGCCTATGCCTACCTGGCAGAAGGATATCATGATAATTTGCATCAATCCATTTGCCATTTGTTTAGCAAACTCTGCAATCACATGAGTGCTACAGAAACATCGGTAACATAGCTAACCAAACAACGGTCTCTGGCTGGTGCGCAGTTAATTTAAAGTATAACTACACCCAAAAATCGAAATGTCTTAACCTTAACCTCAAAAGTGGTCTCCTGATGTGGTTTAAGCATTGTTGTGGACTTACAGTGGGGAAAAAAAGTATTTAGTCAGCCACCAATTGTGCAAGTTCTCCCACTTAAAAAGATGAGAGAGGCCTGTAATTTTCATCATAGGTACACGTCAACTATGACAGACAAAATGAGAAAAAAAAATCCTGAAAATCACATTGTAGGATTTGTAATGAATTTATTTGCAAATTATGGTGGAAAATAAATATTTGGTCAATAACAAAAGTTTCTCAATACTTTGTTATATACCCTTTGTTGGCAATGACACAGGTCAAACGTTTTCTGTAAGTCTTTACAAGGTTTTCACACACTGTTGCTGGTATTTTGGCCCATTCCTCCATGCAGATCTCCTCTAGAGCAGTGATGTTTTGGGGCTGTCGCTGGGCAACACAGACTTTCAACTCCCTCCAAAGATTTTCTATGGGGTTGAGATCTGGAGACTGGCTAGGCCACTCCAGGACCTTGAAATGCTTCTTACGAAGCCACTCCTTCGTTGCCCGGGCGGTGTGTTTGGGATCATTGTCATGCTGCAAGACCCAGCCACGTTTCACCTTCAATGCCCTTGCTGATGGAAGGAGGTTTTCACTCAAAATCTCACGATACATGGCTCCATTCATTCTTTCCTTTACACGGATCAGTCGTCCTGGTCCCTTTGCAGAAAAACAGCCCCAAAGCATGATGTTTCTACCCCCATGCTTCACAGTAGGTATGGTGTTCTTTGGATGCAACTCAGCATTCTTTGTTCTCTAAACACGACGAGTTGACTTTTTACCAAAAAGTTATATTTTGGTTTCATCTGACCATATGACATTCTCCCAATCCTCTTCTGGATCATCCAAATGCACTCTAGCAAACTTCAGACGGGCCTGGACATGTACTGGCTTAAGCAGGGGGACACGTCTGGCACTGCAGGATTTGAGTCCCTGGCGGCGTAGTGTGTTACTGATGGTAGGCTTTGTTACTTTGGTCCCAGCTCTCTGCAGGTCATTCACTAGGTCCCCCCGTGTGGTTCTGGGATTTTTGCTCACCGTTCTTGTGATCATTTTGACCCCACTGGGTGAGATCTTGCGTGGAGCCCCAGATCGAGGGAGATATCAGTGGTCTTGTTTGTCTTCCATTTCCTAATAATTGCTCCCACAGTTGATTTCTTCAAACCAAACTGCTTACCTATTGCAGATTCAGTCTTCCCAGCCTGGTGCAGGTCTACAATTTTGTTTCTGGTGTCCTTTGACAGCTCTTTGGTCTTGGCCATAGTGGAGTTTGGAGTGTGACTGTTTGAGGTTGTGGACAGGTGTCTTTTATACTGATAACAAGTTCAGACAGGTGCCATTAATAAAGGTAACGAGTGGAGGACAGAGGAGCCTCTTAAAGAACAAGCTACAGGTCTGTGAGAGCCAGAAATCTTGCTTGTTTGTAGGAGACCAAATACTTATTTTCCACCATAATTTGCAAATAAATTCATTACAAATCCTACAATGTGATTTTCTGTATTTTTTTTTCTCTATTTGTCTGTCATAGTTGACGTGTACCTATTATGAAAATTACAGGCCTCTCTCATCTTTTTAAGTGGGAGAACTTGCACAATTGGTGGCTGACTAAATACTTTTTTCCCCCACTGTATAACATCCAATTTGGTTGTTTTTCTATTAAACCACAAAAGGGTGTTGTCAAAAAGTGATTGAATTCAAATGGGTTTACCCAGCTGTTAGATTTGTTTGTTTGTTTTAGTGTAGTATTTTTAGCACCTGTCTTTGCTCTACGTTTGAACAGAAACATCTGATGGTGATTGGAGTGGACGTCCATCACGACACCAGCAAGAAGAACAGATCAGTCATGGGCTTCGTCGCCAGCCTGAACAGGTGAACGCCCCCTAAAAGACACACCACACAGTAACATATTAGTGAATGCAATTAACATATCTTAATTGATGGCTTTTCTGATTTAATTATGGATATATCCCAAATGGCACCCTATTCCCTATATCAGGGATGGGGCAACTTTGATGGGAGTGGGGGCCACAAAAAATATGAACTGATGAGGGGACACAGTGGCTCGTGGGTCTGCGTACCTACATCCATACCCACACATGCAGTCAGAGCCAGCCCTAGCCTTTTGGGCTTTAGATGGCTAACCTATGTAGTGCACTACCTTTTACCAGGCCCCAAAGGGTGCACTATATAGGGAATAGGGTGTTATTTGGGATACAACCTATGACATTTCCTCCTATTCCTCCCCTCCCCCAGCCTGCTGACTAGGTGGTACTCCAGAGTGACCTTCCAGATGCCCAATGAGGAGATCATCAATGGGTTCAGGGTGTGTCTGCTGGCTGCACTGCAGAAATACTACGAGGTGACCATTTTAATATAGGCCTACTATGAGTTGTGATGCCTTTTATTTATTTTTAACACAGCATACTAAAGGCCTTTCAGCCCAGCCTGGGATTTATTTTAAATATTCAGTACCAGTCAAAAGTTTGGACACACCTACTCATTCAAGGGGTTTTCTTTATTTTTACTATTTTCTACATTGTAGAATTATAGCGAAGACATCAGAACTATGAAATAACACAAATGGAATCATGTAGTAACCAAAAATGTGTTAAACAAATCCAAATATATTTGAGATTTGAGATTCTTTAAAGTAGCCACCCTTTGCCTTGATGACAGCGTTGCACACTCTTGGCAGACTCTCAATCAGCTTCATGAGGTAGTCACCTGGAATGCTTTTCCAACAGTCTTGAAGGAGTTGCCACATATGCTGAGCACTTGTTGGCTGCTTTTCCTTCACTCTGCGGTCCAACTCAGCCCAAACCATCTCAATTGGGTTGAGGTCGGGTGATTGTGGAGGCCAGGTCATCTGATGTAGCGCTCCATCACTCTCCTTCTTGGTCAAATAGCCCTTACACAGCCTGGAGGTGTGTTTTGGGTCATTGTCCTGTTGAAAAACAAATGATAGTCCCACTAAGTGCAAACCAGATGGGATGGCGTATCGCTGCAGCATGCTGTGGTAGCCATGCTGGTTAAGTGTGCCTTGAAATCTAAATAAATCACTGACAGTGTCACCACCAAAGCACCCCCACACTATCACACCTCCTCCATGCTTCATGGTGGGAACCACACATGCAGATATCATCCGTTCACCTACTCTGCGTCTCACAAAGACACGGTGGTTGGAACCAAAAATCTCAAATTTGGACTCATCGGACCAAAGGACAGATTTCGTGTTTCTTGGGCCAAGCAAGTCTCTTCTTCTTATTGGTGTCCTTTAGAAGTGGTTTCTTTGCAGCAATTCGACCATGAAGGCCTGATTCACGCAGTCTCCTCTGAACAGTTGAGATGTGTCTGTTACTTGAACTCTGAAGCATTCATTTGGGCTGCAATCTGAGGTGCAGTTAATTGCAGATTTCTGAGGCTGGTAACTCTAATGAACTTTTCCTCTGCAGCAGAGGTAACTCTGGGTCTTCCTTTCCTGTGGCGGTCCTCATGAGAGTCAGTTTCGTCATAGCACTTGATGGTTTTTGCGACTGCACTTGAAGAAACGTTAAAAGTTCTTGAAATGTTCCGCATTGACTGACCTTCAAGTCTCAAAGTAATGATGGACTGTTGTTTCTCTTTGCTTATTTGAGCTGTTCTTAATATGGACTTAGACCTATTTGGCAAAAGACCATCTTCTGTTTACCATCCCTACCTTGTCACAACACTACTGATTGGCTCAAACGCATTAAGAAGGAAAGAAATTCCACAAATTAACTTTTAACAAGGTACACCTGTTAATTGAAATGGATTTTCATGCAGTTCCACGTGTGTACTTAGAGGAATAAAAGTGAATATATGAAAATTGACCCATAACTCCACCTATACAACAACATAGGACTATATATCATTTTAAGCAGGGTTCATTGGCAAGTCAAATTCAAGGACTTTCAGGGACTTTTTCAAGCACTTAATTTTCAAGGACCTCAATTAAGTGATAATGCCCTGGAAGCCAGTGTTTAGAGGATATATTGGCATGGGTGTTGTTAGGGCCGAGACGAAGTTAAGGGCCGGCAAACCGTGCCAATATAGCCTCCAAACACCGGCTTCGAGGGCATTATCACTTTTATACAACATGTTACCAACATATTCAAATAATGATTGACATATTTTCATTGACGTTATTTTGATGAATTTATTCATCCTTCCATAAGATATAATCCCGACACAAATCTAGGGTTGCTACCCCCCAAGCCAGCTGGTCGTTCGTTCTATCGGTTCGGTTGCCAGAGACGCGACCCAGTATTTCAGTCTTTTTGTTCTGTGTCTATGGACGTTGTTCATTCTAAATGTTCCATTGCCATACTGGCTGGCAACGTTCATATCCCTTGCTTGCTAGCTAGCCAACTACGGCTAATTTACAGTCACGTCAAAAAGTGCAGCCAGCATAACCGCAAAGTAGCTGCATTTGCATTTGTGTAAACTGTTTTCTAGTGACATTTATTTGGATACATCCATAACAATTTTTTAATGAGGCGCGATTTCGCCTGGCATAGAAAATGTGCTCACTCGTCAGGACACTGTTGTTCAGAAGAGCTAGCCAACAACACAACTAACACAATCACTTCAAACTGAAGCTGGAAAGACCGCAAACTAGCTGCACGTCGTTTCGTTTTACCAGCTGATTCATGATTTCGACTGGTTGAGAAACGCTGCCTGCCTGTCTGTCTGTCTCGTCCCGACTCCCGACACGTTCATTACTTAATTTAGCCGGTGGTAACTTGTGGAATAGACACTGGCTGGAATGCGGTTTTAACCAATCAGCATTCAGGATTTGACCCACCTGTTGTATAAAGTTATACAATTATATAATTGTACAGGGCGGCAGGTAGCTTAGTGGTTAAGAGCGTTGTGCCAGTAACCGAAAGGTCGCTGGTTCTAATCTCCGAGCCGACTAGATGAAAATCTGTCGGTGCCCTTGAGCAAGGCACTTAACCCTAATTGCTCCTGTAAGTCGCTCTGGATAAGAAAAAAAAAATAAGTTAATTAAATTACATATAGGGCCTATTATAAACTGGGTGGTTCGAGCCCTGAATGCTGATTGGCTGACAGCTGTGGTATATCAGACCGTATACCACGGGAATTACATATTTATTTTTACTGCTCTAATTACGTTGGTAACCAGTTTATATAATAGCAATAAGGCACATCCGGGGTTTGTGGTATATTGGCCATATACCACACCTTGTGCCTTAATGCTTAAATATAGAACCCCCAAAATGCATGCAGAAAGTGTCAAAAACGTAGGCTGTTACCACTTTAAGAATAATGAATTGTTTAGACCTTGCCAATGCATTGATGTTGAAAGTATTATTACATTCTAAAATATGGGAGAATAATGTGGACATTGCCTGACTAAATAGATTACATGCGTGCATGGCGATTTTTCTGTATCCTATGTGGCCGACGCAGGCACACAAAATAAAGCCGTGAATAGCGGTAGCATAAATCTCACAATTTGAATCTCACCATCGCTTTTTTATAATGATTAAGTGACCAAAAAACAGGTTCCTTTGTTAATGGAAAGATTTGTATGGAAAGCCAAGTTGAAGCCAACATTAGATGTTGTCTTCCTCATAATAACCGCACGTGGTTTTACCGCAACAGAGTAGTGGCCCCGTGTAGCTCAGTTGGTAGAGCATGGCGCTTGCAACGCCAGGGTTGTGGGTTCGTTTCCCACGGGGGGCCAGTATGACATTTTCCTAAATAAAAATGTATGCACTCACTAAATGTAAGTCGCTCTGGATAAGAGCGTCTGCTAAATGACTAAAATGTACAAATGTAAAATGTAGTGCAACGCCCTTCAATTGAAGCGGTGGGAAGCAAATTAAACTAGCCACATTGCTCACAAAAACGGATAAAAAATATTTCAAAAAGGGAGCAGGAGAACTTATAAATTGACTATAATAATTACAATAACTTTTCAAGCACCAAATTGAAGGTAGGCCTATTCCAGTACTTGAATTTCTGTGCTCCAATTTCAGGTTCAATTAGACTACTTCAATTGCAGCTGTAACATGGAAAACTAAATTTATTTGTCATGTTATTTCATTACCAGATCATATTGTGAATAGGTCCACTAGGCTATGTAATTTGTTGTCATTATATCCAGAATAATTAATAGGAAAAGCGTTGGGTGTTGCGCAATAGTCTTTCCTACACAATTGCGCACTGTAGACTGTGTCCAATCCGAGGCACGAAAACATGAACACATTACCTTGCTGCTTTCTGTTAAATCTGAGACCCTGCTGTAAATGAAGCAGAAACAACCTGATGATCAACATCAATTCGCTAGGGATATTAGATCCAACGTGGATCCAGGCACAACTGTCTTCACCGGCATAACGAATGAGACACAAATGTTCTGGACATTCCTCGTGAAACAGCACTTGGACTGTTGTTGCATCGCATGCACTATCACAATAGCTGTTCGTCACTTGACTGTCATTCTGGAAAATTCCTTCCTTGATCAGATGGGTGTACATTTCACGGCGTAACTAATCAGCTGGACACCAAATGCGCCTCCAACAAGTATTATGCATAATTGAAGAACCACATTCATGACAGTTTCGATGTAGGTTTTAAGTATGAAGGTAAGGTGACTCTTTCATTTAGGAGCATTCGATTTTGCATTCACATTTATTATTTTGGATTTGTGTGCCCATGAAAATGCGCCGCGTCCTCAGAGCATGCGCAGACCAGCTGGCTGGTGTATTTACGGACATATTCAATCTCTCTATCCCAGTCTGCTGTCCCCACATGCTTCAAGATGGCCACCATTATTCCTGTACCCAAGAAAGCAAAGGTAACTGAACTAAACGACTATCGCCACGTAGCACTCACCTGTCATCATGAAGTGCTTTGAGAGACTAGGCAAGGATCATATCACCTCTACCTTACCTGCTACCCTAGACCCACTTCAATTTGCTTACCGCCCCAATAGAGCCACAGACGATGCAATCGCCGTCACTCTGCACGCTGCCCTATCCCATCTGGACAAGAGGAATACCTATGTAAGAATGCTGTTCATTGACTATAGCTCAGCATTCAACACCATAGTACCCTCCAAGCTCATCGTTAAGCTTGAGGCCCTGGGTCTGAACCCCGCCCTGTGCAACTGGGTCCTGAACTTCCTGACGGGCCGCCCCCAGGTGGTGAAGGTAGGAAACAACACCTCCACTTAGCTGATCCTCAACACTGGGGCCCCACAAGGGTGCGTGCTCAGCCCACTCCTGTACGACACAACAGTAGTAGGCTTGATTACCAACAATGATGAGACAGCCTACAGGGAGGAGGTGAGGGCTCTGGGAGTGTGGTGCCAGAAAAATAACTTCTCACTCAACGTCAACAAAACAAAGGAGATGAACATGGACTTCAGGAAACAGCAGAGGGTGCACCCCCATATCCACATCGACGGGACTGCAGTGCAGAAGGTGTAAAGCTTCAAGTTCCTTGGCGTACACATCACTGACAAACTGAAATGGTCCACCCACGCAGACAGTGTGGTGAAGAAGCCGCAACAGAGCCTCTTCAACCTCAGGAGGCTAAAGAAATTTGGCTTGGCACCTAAAACCATCACAAACTTTTACAGATGCACAATTGAGAGCATTCTGTCGGGCTGTATCACCGCCTGGTACGGAAACTGCACCGCCCGCAACCGCAAGGCTCTCCAGAGGGTGGTGTGGTCTGCACAACGGATTACCGGGGGCAAACTACCCGCCCACCAGGACACCTACAGCACCCGATGTCACAGGAAGGACAAAAAGCTATCATCCGGAAGGCAGGTCAGTACAGGTGCATCAAAGCTGGGACCGAGAGACTGAAGAACAGCTTCTATCTCAAGGCCATCAGACTGTTAAACAGCCATCACTAGCGCATTAGAGGCTGCTGCCTATAGACATAGACTAGAAATCTCTAGCTACTTTAAGAAATGGAACTATAGCCACTTTAATAATGTTTACATATCTTGCATTACTCATCTCATATGTATATGCTGTATTCTATACTATTCTACTGTATCTTAGTCCATGCCGCTCTAACATCGCTTGTCCATATATGTATATATTCTTAATTCATTCCTTACTTAGATTTGTGTATATTGGGTATATGTTGTGAAATTGTTAGATATTACTGCACTGTCGGAGCTAGATGCACAAGCATTTCGTTACACCCGCAATAACATCTGCTAAACACGTGTATGTGACCAATAACATTTGATTTGATTTGACATTAGACACAATGTTACGTAGTTACACTGCATTTCTGCGATCTCTATACAAAAAACTGTCCAACAGCTAGATCCAGGATTCTTACAGGGTTCAAGTTCAATGTCTAATTTAACTGATTAATGCTTAATATATGATATAAAGACAACTTACACTGCCATAAATGCAAGGACAGAAAAGTAATATTTTATGTTATACCATTTTGGACAAATCCGTCAAGACACCATCCATGATAAAGGATTAAACCGGTTTTAAATCAACTCGTGATCTTATGATCCCCGTTATATCTTAATGTAATGACATGAAAAAAAATGGCTGATTATTATCAATGACTTATCAACAGCTACTGTATAATTAGTTGTCCAGTGTAGGAAATCCTCACTGTTACCCTAGTTTTATAGAAAGACCCATATGCTAGAGATAAAACATTTTTTTATGTATGTACAAGTGGGGGGAAAAAAGTATTTAGTCATCCACCAATTGTGCAAGTTCTCCCACTTAAAAAGATGAGAGAGGCCTGTAATTTCTATCATAGGTACACGTCAACTACGACAGACAAAATGAGAAAAAAATATCCAGAAAATCACATTGTAGGATTTTTTATGAATTTATTTGCAAATTATGGTGGAAAATAAGTATTTGGTCAATAACAAAAGTTTCTCAATACTTTGTTATATACCCTTTGTTGGCAATGACACAGGTCAAACGTTTTCTGTAAGTCTTCACAAGGTTTTCACTCATTGTTTCTGGTATTTTGGCCCATTCCTCCATGCAGATCTACTCTAGAGCAGTGATGTTTTGTGGCTGTCGCTGGGCAACACAGACTTTCAACTCCCTCCAAAGATTTTCTATGGGGTTGAGATCTGGAGACTGGCTAGACCACTCCAGGACCTTGAAATGCTTCTTACGAAGCCACTCCTTCGTTGCCCGGGCGGTGTGTTTGGGATCATTGTCATGCTGAAAGACCCAGCCACGTTTCATCTTCAATGCCCTTGCTGATGGAAGGAGGTTTTCACTCAAAATCTCACGATACATGGCCCCATTCATTCTTTCCTTTACACAGATCAGTCGTCCTGGTCCCTATGCAGAAAAACAGCCCCAAAGCATGATGTTTTCACCCCCATGCTTCACAGTAGGTATGGTGTTCTTTGGATGCAACTCAGCATTCTTTGTCCTCCAAACACGACGAGTTGAGTTTTTACCAAAAAGTTCTATTTTGGTTTCATCTGACCATATGACATTCTCCCAATCCTCTTCTGGATCATCCAAATGCACTCTAGCAAACTTCAGACGGGCCTGGACATGTACTGGCTTAAGCAGGGGGACACGTCTGGCACTGCAGGATTTGAGTCCCTGGCGGCGTAGTGTGTTACTGATGGTAGGCTTTGTTACTTTGGTCCCAGCTCTCTGCAGGTCATTCACTAGGTCCCCCCGTGTGGTTCTGGGATTTTTGCTCACCGTTCTTGTGATCATTTTGACCCCACGGGGTGAGATCTTGCGTGGAGCCCCAGATCGAGGGAGATTATCAGTGGTCTTGTATGTCTTCCATTTCCTAATACTTGCTCCCACAGTTGATTTCTTCAAACCAAGCTGCTTACCTATTGCAGATTCAGTCTTCCCAGCCTGGTGCAGGTCTACAATTTTGTTTCTGGTGTCCTTTGACAGCTCTTTGGTCTTGGCCATAGTGGAGTTTGGAGTGTGACTGTTTGAGGTTGTGGACAGGTGTCTTTTATACTGATAACAAGTTCAAACAGGTGCCATTAATACAGGTAACGAGTGGAGGACAGAGGAGCCTCTTAAAGAAGAAGTTACAGGTCTGTGAGAGCCAGAAATCTTGCTTGTTTGTAGGTGACCAAATACTTATTTTCCACCATAATTTGCAAATAAATTCATTAAAAATCCTACAATGTGATTTTCTGGAAAAAAAAATCTCAATTTGTCTGTCATAGTTGACGTGTACCTATTATGAAAATTACAGGCCTCTCTCATCTTTTTAAGTGGGAGAACTTGCACAATTGGTGGCTGACTAAATACGTTTTTTCCCCACTGTATATATGTGTATATATACAGTTGAAGTCAGAAGTTTACATACACCTTAGCCACATACATTTAATTTCAGTTTTGAAATTGACATTTAATCCTAGTAAAACTTCCCTGTTTTAGGTCAGTTAGGATCACCACTTTATTTGAAGAATGTGAAATGTCAGAATAATAGTAGAGAGAATTATTTATTTCAGCTTTTATTTATTTCATCACATTCCCAGTGGGTCAGAAGTTTACATACACTCAATTAGTATTTGGTAGCATTGCCTTTAAATTGTTTAACTTGGGTCAAACATTTCGGGTAGCCTTCCACTAGCTTCCCACAATAAGTTGGGTGAATTTTGGCCCATTCCTCCTGACAGAGCTGGTGTAACTGAGTCAGGTTTGTAGGCCTCCTTGCTCGCACATGCTTTTTCAGTTCTTTCCTCAGATTTTCTATAGGATTGAGGTCAGGTCTTTGTGATGGCCACTCCAATACCTTGACTTTGCCACAACTTTGGAAGTATGCTTGGGGTCATTGTCCATTTGGAAGACCGATTTGCGACCATGCTTTAACTTCCTGACTGATGTCTTGAGATGTTGCTTCAATATATCCACATAATTTTCCTTCCTCATGATCCCATCTATTTTGTGAAGTGCACCAATCCCTCCTGCAGCAAAGCACCCCCACAGCATGATGCTGCCACCCCCGTGCTTCACGGTTGGGATGGTGTTCTTCGGCTTGCAAGGCACCCCCTTTTTCCTCCAAACATAACGATGGTCATTATGGCCAAACAGTTCTATTTTTGTTTCATCAGACCAGAGGACATTTCTCCAAAAAGTACGATCTTTGTCCCCATGTGCAGTTGCAAACCGTAGTCTGGCTTTTTATGGCAGTTTTGGAGCAGTGGCTTCTTCCTTGCTGAGCGGCCTTTCAGGTTATGTCGATTGTAAGACTCGTTTTACTGTGGATATAGATACTTTTGTACCTGTTTCCTCCAGCATCTTCACAAGGTCCTTTGATGTTCTTGGATTGATTTGCACTTTTCGCACCAAAGTACGTTCATCTCTAGGAGACAGAACGCGTCACCTTCCTGAGCGGTATGACTGCTGCGTGGTCCCATGGTGTTTATACTTGCGCACTATTGTTTGTACAGATGAACGTGGTACCTTCGGGTGTTTGGAAATTGCTCCCAAGGATGAACCAGACGTGTGGAGGTCTACAATCTTTTTTCTGAGGTTTTGGCTGATTTCTTTTGGTTTTCTCATGATGTCAAGCAAAGATACACTTTGTTTGAAGGTAGGCCTTGAAATACATCCACAGGTACACCTCCAATTGACTCATATTATGTCAATTAGCCTATCAGAAGCTTCTAAAGCCATTACATAATTTTCTGGAATTTTCCAAGCTGTTTAAAGGCACAGTCAACTTAGTGTATGTAAACTTCTGACCCACTAGAATTGTGATACAGTGAATTATAAGTGAAATAATCTATCTGTAAACATTTGCTGAAATAATTACTTGTGTCATGCACAAAGTAGATGTCCTAACCGACTTGCCAAAACTATAGTTTAACGAGAAATTTGTGGAGTGGTTGAAAAACTAGGTTTAATGACTCGAACCTAAGTGTTTGTAAACTTCCAACTTCAACTGTATGTGTATATATATGTGTGTGTGTATGTATTTATATATATGTGTATGTGTGTGTGTGTGTGTATACAGTGGGGAGAACAAGTATTTGATACACTGCCGATTTTGCATGTTTTCCTACTTACAAAGCATGTAGAGGTCTGTAATTTTTATCATAGGTACACTTCAACTGTGAAAATCCAGAAAAAAAAGAAGGAAAGAAATCCAGAAAATTACATTGAAGTTTGCCAATGACCATCTGGATGATCCAGAGGAGGAATGGGAGAAGGTCATGTGGTCTGATGAGACAAAAATTGAGCTTTTTGGTCTAAACTCCACTCGCCGTGTTTGGAGGAAGAAGAAGGATGAGTACAACCCCAAGAACACCATTCCAACCGTGAAGCATGGAGGTGGAAACATCATTCTTTGGGGATGCTTTTCTGCAAAGGGGACAGGACGACTGCACCGTATTGAGGGGAGGATGGATGGGGCCATGTATCGCGAGATCTTGGCCAACAACCTCCTTCCCTCAGTAAGAGCATTGAAGATGGATCGTGGCTGGGTCTTCCAGCATGACAACAACCCGAAACACACAGCCAGGGCAACTAAGGAGTGGCTCCGTAAGAAGCATCTCAAGGTCCTGGAGTGGCCTAGCCAGTCTCCAGACCTGAACCCAATAGAAAATCTTTGGAGGGAGCTGAAAGTCCGTATTGCCCAGCGACAGCCCCGAAACCTGAAGGATCTGGAGAAGGTCGGTATGGAGGAGTGGGCCAAAATCCCTGCTGCAGTGTGTGCAAACCTGGTCAAGACCTACAGGAAACGTATGATCTCTGTAATTGCAAACAAAGGTTTCTGTACCAAATATAAAGTTCTGCTTTTCTGATGTATCAAATACTTATGTCATCCAATAAAATGCAAATTAATTACTTAAAAATCATACAATGTGATTTTCTGGATTTTTTAGATTCCGTCTCTCACAGTTGAAGTGTACCTATGATAAAAATTACAGACCTCTACATGCTTTGTAAGTAGGAAAACCTGCAAAATCGGCAGTGTATCAAATACTTGTTCTCCCCACTGTATGTATGTATGTATGTGTGTGTGTGTATATATATATATATAATATATATATGTGTGTGTGTGTTAGTGGCTTACAAAAATAAGTCATGATTTATATGTGTAATGTTTTTCCAGGTGAACCATAACTTCCCGGAGAAGATTGTGGTATACCGGGACGGTGTGTCTGACGGCCAGCTGAAGACGGTGGAGCTGTATGAGATCCCTCAGCTGCTGAAGTGTTTCGAGACGTTCCCTAACTATGAGCCCAAGCTGGTGTTCATCGTGGTACAGAAACGCTCCAGCACCAACCTGTACTCCTGCTCCGGAGGCCGCTTTGGAACACCTCCGCCAGGAACTGTCCTGGACCACACAGTCACCAACAGGGAATGGTGAATCCTGGCTCTGTCTTTAAGGGATACTTCAGGATTGTGGCAATGAGGCCCTTTATCTACTTCCCCAAAGTCAGATGAACTCGTCGATACCATTTTTATGTTGGAGGTAGTTTCGTGAGCCAATGCTAACTAGCATTAGCGCAATGACTAGCAGATACCCATAGACATCCAGTCATGACCTCCAGTCATTTATCAAATGATTTTTTTTTCTCTCCCCAGGGTTGACTTCTACCTGATGGCGCATCACATTCGACAGGGCTGTGGCCTGCCTACACACTACATCTCAGTCTACAACACAGCAAACCTCTCCCCAGACCACTTGCAAAGGTAAGGTTAAACGTACAGTGAATTATGCCACCATAAATCTCTAGTTGGCAGTAAGGGCCAAATAGTATCTGCTAGTTTACATAATACCTCAGGTATTTTTGACTTTATACATTGGTGGGTGGAGTGGATGCGTCACATGAAAGCCTGTCATTCTTGCAGCATTAACATATAACCTTGTTACCACAATCTAATCCTGGGTCTCACTCCAGGCTGACCTTCAAAATGTGCCACATGTACTGGAATTGGCCCGGGACTATCCGAGTGCCAGCGCCGTGCAAGTATGCCCACAAACTGGCCTTCCTGTCGGGCCAGTACCTCCACTCAGAGCCGGCTATCCAGCTGGCAGACAAGCTCTACTTCCTCTGATGTGTGCCTCCATAGCCTCAGCCCCCCTAGAAGGAGCACACCAGTCTGCAGAACAATTAACAGGTCGCAACAGAGCAAGCCGTGAAGAAGAAAAATGGAAGGAGGAAAATAAATTAGAAAAAGGGGAGGCTTTCAGATTGACTTTTGGATCAGATAAAACCAAATTTTTGTTTTGTTCAGCAGCCAGTGTTCTCATGGTAAGATGAATCATTGTCCGACATAGACACCCCCCCCCCCCCCCCAATGCATGTGGAGAGTTGAGCCTGTTGCTCTTGAAAAGGTGCCGGTAATCTTGTCTTGAATCCATATATCACAAATTATGTTAGCTGATGAAATCAAGAATGTCATGATTAGCTAATTAATATAATTAGCTTGTGATGGCCGTTGATACGAGACTCCTGTTTAGCCGTAATCAGCAAGATTTCGACCAACCTTTACTTGGCGGTACATTCTTCGTTCTCTATTCGAAAGGCACTGTTGTCTTTGAAACTTTGTGTCCCATTGCAGGTGGTATGTTGGAATTTAGAAAATGCTCTGTTATTAAATGCAATCTATTTTTGCTCCGTGAAGTAATCCAACAATGTTGGATTATTATTGTCAATGAGTGAAGACAATGATACATTTTAAGATGGCGGCGTATACATTTTTGGACTACTTCATCGAGCAAAAAATGATTCAATTTAATGACGAAGGATTTTCTAAATTCCCATGTTCCCCCTGCAACTAGCCATGGGAGTTAAGAAAACACACTCGAGAACGAAGAAAGTATTGAGTAGAGGTTAGTCAAAGATCCTGATTATGGCTACTGATTACTGCTAAACAGCAGCTTTTGCACGCCCTCAGACACAAGCTTTCACTCTGCCGCTGAGGTTTGGTTTTACATGGCTAACATTTTGTAAGAGTTAAGAAATATAGCTGTTTTCAGTGCTTTGAGGAATAGGAACAAATGTTTATAAAACAAAAAAGAGCCAGTTTTCCACTGTTTGCATGACCCACAGAGACCAGAGGAGATTTTATTTGGGATAGTGTGAAATTCAAGTCTGTTTTAATTTATTACAACAATAGTGGGTTTTATTTGTGTTGTCCTCTGTTTTGTTGCTCCAGATACATTGCTGTTGGAAATAAAACTGGTGTGGATGGGAAAGGGTTTCTTAACTTGTTAGTCTTGTCTTTTTTTCCAGAATGTTTGTGGGGCTATTCCCCAAATGTGCTGCGTGTCCAAGTGATCAGAAAGCTTTCCATTTAAATTGACTCGATAGTCCAGTAGATGTGCTGTCCCTTCTCTGTAGTTGTATAGGCCACTAGGCACAGACTAGAACAATCAACAAAGTTTGCCATAATGCCAAAAGGTTCTCGCTTGGTAAGTTACCAGCAAGAACATGGGAGTCTTTCACATTGACAGATGATAAAGTCCCCTGTAGCTCAGTTGGTAGAGCATGGCGCTTGCAATGCCAGGGTTGTGGGTTCGTTTCCCACGGGGGCCAGTATGAAAATGTATGCACTCACTAACTGTAAGTCGCTCTGGATAAGAGCGTCTGTTAAATGACTAAAATGTAATAAATAAAGCTAGAGGAGAGAAGCTGTCATTGAATAACCGGAAGCACGAATAAGTCTCAGGAACTCTAAAGGCTGTGTTTGTTATTTTAATGCCCACAACACGGGGGGGTGGGGGGACGGAACGGATGGATGGAAATGGCCATGTGATGGAAAATCTGATAGAAATTAAAGGTCTGGTGTGCCTGAATGATGGCGGAGGGACCAGGATTGATGTAGCCACAGGGAAAGAGTCTGCCTTGGACCTCACTCTGGTATCTAGTGCAATGGCAGGAATCTGAGTGGGAGAAGTCGACAGTAGGGAGTGATCATTACCCCAAAGTATGCACAGTAGGCCGGAGGGAGGATGTAAATAATGTGTTGAATGCACCATTTACCATGGCAGATGTGTAAAGGGCAATAGGTAAGGCTGGGTTAACTTCACCTGGGAAAGATGAGGTGTGCTATGTTACGTTGGCCCATCTTAGTGATTGGATAAGGTATTGGTGTTGCTCAACAGTGTGGGAGGAGGGGAAACTACCAGGCAGCTGGAAGGAGTCAGTAGTGGTACCAATCCGGAAGCCAGGGAAGGACCCAACGAGGCCAACAAGCTATCGGCCAATAGCTTTAACATCACATGTATGAAAAATTATCAAATGTATGATTACGGAGAGGCTAACTTACTTCCTGGAGAGCAGGGGGCTAGTATCGCCACATCAGAGTGTGTTCAGGAAGGATAGGGGAACTATGGACCCAGTGCTCTGCTTAGAAGCAGAGGTCAGGCAGGCTCAGGTGAACAAGGAGACTGTTGAAGCTGTCTTTTTTGATGTGGGGAAGGCGTACGATATGATGTGCAAGGAGGGGTTGTTAATCAAGCTTGATATTATGAGGGTAGGGGGAAGAATGTACAACTGGATAAAGGATTTCTTGTTTGGAAGGTCTATCCAGGTGAGGGTGGGGAAGTCTGTGAGGCAGCTACCTGGTGGATAATGGTACACCACAGGGGAGTGTGATTGGTCCTCTGTTGTTCTCAATCATGATCAATGATGTTTACTCTCAGGTACAGACGGATATTGAGAGGTCATTATTTGCAGATGATGGGGCCTTATGGAAGAGGGGAATAAATGTGCCATACATAGTCAGGAAGGTACAGGAAGCAATTGATGAGGTAGAGCGGTGGGCATTCATGTGGGGATTCAGGTTCTCTGTAGAGAAAACTCAGACAGTGTTCCTTACCAGGAGGAAGGTGGGAGATGAGGTATGCTTGAGGTTATATGAGAGAAACTTGGAGAGGGTGGGGGCCTTCAGGTTCCTTGGGGTATACTTTGACACTAGACTGACCTGGGCAGAACACATCGAGAGAGTGGTGGGAAAGTGTAAGAAGGTGCTAAATGTGATACGCTGTCTGACAGGGAAGGAGTGGGGGGCTGGGCGTTCCTCATTGAGAACCATGTATGTTGCATTGATCTGATCTGTAATAGACTATGGCAGTATAACGTATGGTTCGGCAGCCCGGACCTCATTGGAAAGGCTAGATGTCATACAGGGGCAAGGACTTAGAACATGTAGTGGGGTGTTTCGGACCTCCCCAGTGTCTGCACTACAGGTGGAGATGAGGGATATGCCATTGCAGATTAGGAGACAGCAGCTGGCAATGAATTATTGGGTCAACCTACAGGAACATGGGGTGTCTCATCCTGCTAAAGGGATTTTACAGGCATTCTGGGAACATGAGCGAAGACAGAACACAAGCCTTGGGTGGGTGGGTAATACCCAGGCGAAGGAGCTGGGACTGTATGGAAGGGAGTTTAGTCCAACGGTAGCTATTCCTGTAAATCCACCATGACTACTCCCGCCTCCAGTAGTTGATCTAGAAGTGTTGGAGAGACTGTGTATCAGGATTTTGTGGCCATTTACACAGATGGTTCAAAAGATTCAAGGACAGGACGTACTGGGTCAGCATTTGTAGTGCAGGAATGTGGGGTGGCAGTCAGGAAACGTATTACAGATCATCTGGCTGTATATACGGCGGAGCTGATGGCCATACTGTTGGCCTTGCAGTGGGTGGAGGAAGTCAAGCCAGACAGAGTAGTTATTTGCTCTGATTCATGTGCAGTGTTGATGAGTCTCCAGTCCTTTAGCTCATGTAGCAGACAATACCTGCTTTATGAGGTGCTACAAACCCATTGCAGGATTACACAAATTAGTATACAGATAAGATTTACTTGGGTCCCAGCCCATGTGGGGGTGGAGGAGAATGAGGCAGTTGATGTACTGGCTAAACAGGCACTTAGTAGTGGGGATGTTGATGTTGTAGTTTCAATGAGCAAAAAAGCTTGATATGGACAGTGATGGTGCAGAGATGGCAGGAGCAGTGGAATAGAGATACTAAGGGCAGGCATTTATTTCAAATACAGAGGAAAGTCGGGGAGGACGGCAGGAAGGGACAGAAGAGAGGAGGCTAATTTTACAAGATTAAGGGTGGGACACAGCCAGTTGAATAAGACCTTAAATGTGATAGGAAAGCATCCAACAGGAAAGTGTGATTGTTGCCAGGAAACAGAGACTGTGGAGCATGTATTGCTATGGTGTGGGCAGTATCAGAGGGAAAGAGAGAGGCTGAGATCTAGTATGAGGGAGAAGGCGTTACAGGAAATTAGTTTAAAGAGTATATTGAGTAGAACGTCATTAGATATAGTCTCAAATATTTTATCTGTTTTAAGAGCAACAGGGCTGGCAGGTAGGATTTAGTTTATCCCTGTCTCTGGCCCACACTCCAGTACAGTAGGTGGCGGTAATGCACCATAACGTTGGATGCCAAGCACCGATAGACCCCACTGAAGAAGAAGAAGAAGAAGACGAAGGCTGTTTTTGTTGCCAATGAGCTGCTGCGAAAATGGCGGTGTCTCGTCGCTCATCGCAGCAACAACAGCAGGGCAACCTGCAATCTCCGCCACGAAACAGTTATCTTTCGGTAAGTTCTCCGGGCTCTCTGCCGATTGATCTTGTGACAGCGACGGTAGTGCCTCCGGATGGTGAGCGTGGATGCAGCGCAGGCATGGAGAATCCTTCGGCCTCCCCGGATCTTCCAGCACCAGCCCTCAGCAGTGGGAGCAGCACAAGCCCGACCACAACAACCTCCGGCGGGGAGAGTAGTAGTGTCTCGAGCCCCGGTTCAGGAGGCACGAGCCCCGGCGACGGCAGTAGCGGGATCGGTGGAGCTTTCAGGGATCTATTTGAGGCCTGTCGGAATGGAGATGTATCCCGTGTGAAGAGACTTGTAGACTCGGTGAATGTGAATGCGAAGGACATGGCCGGGCGAAAATCTACCCCTCTGCATTTCGCTGCAGGTTAGCTAAGTGATAGCAAGCTTTGTTTTTGTTGTCAGCTCGAGCTGGATCGTAGAGGTGTTTTCGCACATCTCCTTGTGCGTGTTAAAAGACCACAATACTGTGGCTGTCACGACGGGAATGGCTAACGTTAGTTAGTTATTAGCTATCTATGCATGTTCATATTTTTATTCGCTAACGTTAACTAGCTTGCTAGTTTGCCAAGACCAAGGCCCATCGAAAACGGCTAGCTAGCTATAATGCTAAAAACAGTTTGGCAGTCAGACTGATGGGGACAGAAGGCCTCAAATCGAACTCATCCCTCGTAGTTGCTAACTACTTACTAAGTGTAAACAAAAATGCACAGATGTGTTGTTTTAAGGGTGTTAGTACATTTATTCCTTGGCGACCCCCAGTGTTTTAACTTGTTTTGTTCCAACCCAGCACTAACACACCCCTGTTCAGCAAAGCAATGGTTGGTTACCAGCTGATTTGTGGAATCCGGTCTGTTAGTGCAGGGCTGGAAAAAAATATGTGCACACCCTGTTTTGACATTCTAGAGGACCTGCAAAGAAAGTAGTTTGTTTTTGATATTGTGGTCTGTTTTCTGGGTGATATTTTTATTTCTTAGAAGAGACATTACATTACCATTTAGGCAAAAGGTCACCCCGTCCTATACATTTTAAATGTTAGTCATTTAGCAGACGCTCTTATCCAGAGCAACTTACAGGAGCAATTAGGGTTAAGTGCCTTGCTGAAGGGCACATCTACAGATTTTTCACCTAGTCAGCTCGGGGATTCTAAACAGCAATTTCTTATTGTTGTGATTTTCGTGAAGGAACCTGCAAGTAAGCATTTAGTTGGATGTGTATACCATGTGTATCCTTTACATACGACTAATGAAACTTGAAACTTGTATGCACTGACCATGTTTTATCTGTTGCCTTGTCAGGTTTTGGACGAAAGGATGTGGTTGAGCACCTCTTACAGACTGGAGCTAATGTGCACGCCAGAGACGACGGTGGTCTCATCCCCCTGCACAACGCCTGCTCCTTTGGCCACGCCGAGGTGGTCAGTCTGCTCCTGTGCCAAGGTGCAGACCCCAACGCACGGGACAACTGGAACTACACACCTTTGCATGAGGCAGCCATCAAGGGCAAGATTGATGTGTGCATCGGTAAGGATGGGTTACCATGATGATGTTCTGTTCTGTTTTGTCTTTGAATATAAAGAGGGTGACATGCACATCCTAAACTTGAGAATACCTGTGCTGTGCAAAACAATTATACTGGGATAAATGAATGAGAGGTCCACACATGGAATATTGCTGCTCCCGGTGCTTTATTCCTGCACCCAAATATACTATTTTGTGTCTTTCAATGCTGTTAAACCCTGGTAATTTTGGAAAAGTTATGTTGACTATATTGAATGTAAGTAATCTACAAGGGTACTTAGGTGCATGACTATAGTTCAGTAACAGTACTGTAAACTCTGAAAGGTATAAGACTATAATTTAATTAAGGGTAGTGGGTTCGATCCCCGGGACCACCCATACGTAAAAATGTATGCACACATGATTGTAAGTCGCTTTGGATAAAAGCGTCTGCTAAATGGCTTATTATTATTATTATTATTATTTAATTAAAATATTGAAACTGTTTCCTGTTTCCTTCACAAAGTGCTCCTCCAGCATGGCGCTGATCCCAACATCCGTAATACGGACGGCAAGTCTGCCCTGGATCTGGCAGACCCCTCGGCCAAGGCTGTGCTCACCGGTGAGTTTCATACAACTATCCCCTTTCAGCCAGTTCTCTCCCCCATTATATTGGGTAGGTTCCAGGTAGTCTTTGTGTTTTAACATGACTGCAACTTTAATGACCTGGACTGTAACCTTTATCTGATTCATGGCTTGTCTTGACTTTGTGCTGTTCTAACCTGATATTTTGTATTCAGGTGAGTACAAGAAGGATGAACTCCTGGAAGCAGCAAGGTCAGTTTTATCTTTGTTACCTACCACATCTTTACACATTTTATAATACAACATATGTAATGTCTCTCCTCTGTTATCTGTGTGCTACAGGAGTGGCAACGAGGAGAAACTGATGGCACTACTGACCCCATTAAATGTCAACTGCCATGCCAGTGATGGCCGCAAGGTAAAATATCACCATCTCAACCTTACATCCCCACACTTTATATTAATGTTGTATAATATTGTAGAAGATGCTTGATTTGTTCATAAGATTTGCGTGACCAACAGCAACAAAAGTATGGAGAGAAACTCTGTCAGCCGACTTACCAAAACAAAAGTCACTGTTGTGTGGGGATTAAAAACACCATCTCATCCTAGTCTGATTATTTTAAGGAGCACAATATGAAAAGGATTTGTCATTGGATTGGATTTAAGCAGGGGAGGCTTTAACTTGACTCAATTTATGTGCCTGAGCCATATCCTATATTCTGTACTGACTTAAAGGGATACTTTGGGATTTTGGCAATGAAGCTATTTATCTATTTCCCCAGAGTCATATGAACTCATGGATAGAAAAATGTATGTCTCTGCATCCAGTATGAAGGAAGTTAGATGTAGTTTTGCGAGCAAATGCTAACTAACGTTAGCGCTATGACTGGAAGTCTATGGTAAAGATTTGTATAACTAAACCAAGATAGACCACAGCCTGTCGTTTCCAATGGGAACAAATTAGTCATAGTGGGCAGAACAAGCAAGGAGGTGGTCAGAGCCAAGCAAGAGCTAGCGAGATCCTACTGGCCCGTTCTAGCAAACATCTGCATATTTCCGTTAGGGAACGCCTACTCAGTGAAGTGCACTTATGCAATAACTCAATTCACCTTTGCATTCCTTATAAACAACGCAATAAAAAACAAATACTTTGGTAAAGGGTAAAGTCTACAAAACTTAGTCCACTCTGTTCATAACAGATTCTAGTTTTGGGAACAGAAAACTCTATTGAGATCAAATGTTTCATCAATGAGACAATTTGCTAAATGTCGGCCAAACTCCATCTTCCACTGCTGACCACTGGGCTTCCTCTCACTACCATATTTGGTAGTGAGTGGAAACGCCAAGCGGATGCTTCATATTTATACAACTGGTGAAATATCTGTCTCATTGTTCTATCTGTGTCTATGGTATCTAGTAGCATGCTAGCAGTTACCGTAGACCAAAAAAACACTAGTTACCAATTGCGCTAACGCTAGTTAGCAACTTCCTTCAAACTGCACACAGAGACATAAAAATGGTATCCACGTGTTCATCTGACTCTGGATGAGAAGATAAATGGCTGAAGCATCCCTTTAATGGTTATCTATCAACATTAATTTCTCTGATCTTTGACCATCTTTCTAAATATTTTTAGCTCCTGTGATTGGAGTCGAAATGTCATCCGTTTCATAGTATATAAACATATGTTACCCTGTTCAACCATCCCCTGTGTGTAGAAATGATAAGTAAAACATTTTTTGCAGTGGTTAAGACTACGTACGGCTCTTATCTTTTGTTTCTACACCTTCAAATATTTTTGGCGGGGAGGGATTTTGGTAGGAAATATTTTATTTTGGTCCCTCAGTTACCCCTAACCCTAGAAACACAGCCAATATTAGCTATAACCAAGTTGTCCCTATATCCATAGAATTGTCCTAATTCCTAAGAAAACGATATGTTATCTTGAGCGCTATTTGAATATAATAACTCTAAGCTTTCAGCTCTTTTATGTACAGTGAGGGGAAAAAAGTATTTGATCCCCTGCTGATTTTGTACGTTTGCCCACTGACAAAGACATGATCAGTCTATAATTTTAATGGTATGCTTGTTTGAACAGTGAGAGACAGAATAACAACAACAAAATCCAGAAAAACGCATGTCAAAAATGTTATTAATTTATTTGCATTTTAATGAGGGAAATAAGTATTTGACCCCTCTGCAAAACATGACTTAGTACTTGGTGGCAAAACCCTTGTTGGCAATCACAGAGGTCAGACGTTTTTTTGTAGTTGGCCACCAGGTTTGCACACATCTCAGGAGGGATTTTGTCCCACTCCTCTTTGCAGATCTTCTCCAAGTCATTAAGGTTTCGAGGCCGACGTTTGGCAACTCGAACCTTCAGCTCCCTCCACAGATTTTCTATGGGATTAAGGTCTGGAGACTGGCTAGGCCACTCCAGGACCTTAATGTGCTTCTTCTTGAGCCACTCCTTTGTTCCCTTGGCCGTGTGTTTTGGGTCATTGTCATGCTGGAATACCCATCCACGACCCATTTTCAATGCCCTGGCTGAGAGAAGGAGGTTCTCACCCAAGATTTGACGGTACATGGCCCCGTCCATCGTCCCTTTGATGCGGTGAAGTTGTCCTGTCCCCTTAGCAGAAAAAAAACCCCCAAAGCATAATGTTTCCAGCTCCATGTTTGACGGTGGGGATGGTGTTCTTGGGGTCATAGGCAGCATTCCTCCTCCTCCAAACACGGCGAGTTGAGTTGATGCCAAAGAGCTCGATTTTGGTCTCATCTGACCAGAACACTTTCACTCAGTTCTCTGAATCATTCAGATGTTCATTGGCAAACTTCAGACGGCCCTGTATATGTGCTTTCTTGAGCAGGGGGACCTTGCGGGCGCTGCAGGATTTCAGTCCTTCACTGCGTAGTGTGTTACCAATTGTTTTCTTGGTGACTATGGTCCCAGCTGCCTTGAGATCATTGACAAGATCCACCCGTGTAGTTCTGGGCTGATTCCTCACCGTTCTCATGATCATTGCAACTCCTCGAGGTGAGATCTTGCATGGAGCCCCAGGCCGAGGGAGATTGACAGTTCTTTTGTGTTTCTTCCATTTGCGAATAATCGCACCAACTGTTGTCACGTTCTCACCAAGCTGCTTGGCGATGGTCTTGTAGCCCATTCCAGCCTTGTGTAGGTCTACAATCTTGTCCCTGACATCCTTGGATAGCTCTTTGGTCTTGGCCATGGTGGAGAGTTTGGAATCTGATTGATTGATTGCTTCTGTGGACAGGTGTCTTTTATACAGGTAACAAACTGAGATTAGGAGCACTCCCTTTAAGAGTGTGCTCCTAATCTCAGCTCGTTACCTATATAAAAGACACCTGGGAGCCAGAAATCTTTCTGATTGAGAGGGGGTCAAATACTTATTTCCTTCATTAAAATGCAAATCAATTTATAACATTTTTGACATGCGTTTTTCTGGATTTTTTTGCTGTTATTCTGTCTCTCACAGTTCAAATAACCCTACCATTAAAATTATAGACTGATCATGTCTTTGTCAGTGGGCAAACGTACAAAATCAGCAGGGGATCAAATACTTTTTTCCCTCACTGTAGGCCTAATAATATGTTTAATATTAGGTAATGTTTAACCACGTCCATTCATATTCTATCATGTAGTGTATATGTTATGGACATTTCATTTTAGATTAATGCATTGTGCCTCCTTTAGCACACTGTGTCACTGTCATTGACTTGCTGTCATGACTCATGAGGGCTTTGTTGCGATACTGTAGATGGGGTGGTTGTTTAGGATTTTTAAAATCTTTGCGTTGTTGTTTTTAGCTGTTGATGCGTGAGTGTTTGGATCAAAGAGCATTGTGCTTCCCCAGATCACTCCTCTCTGTCTACTCATGGCATCATGACTAGACAATTAACTTCAGTCTGAGGAAAGTGTCTATTTGAAAAGTCAGAAGGCTCTACTTTGCATTGGTATTTGTGGAGTAGGACTGGGTTGTTTTTGATGATTTTTGTTTACCCCTTTTCTTGTTTGGCACCAGTTTAATTATTCAGTTTTTCACCCCCAGTGCATTCTCATGAATAGGGAAGTCCTCGCCAAAAAGCTAGCATCCATCTCCTAGTTGGCAAGAAACCATATCTTGGTCTCCTTTTCTTAATTATGAATAATGCGTACTCTAGAGACTATTGGCTAGGATGAGCAGTATTTTTCTGCCATCATAATTCACTCTGGCTAACCAGGTCCCTAAAGTGGATAAATAAAAATCCTAATCAATATTCTTTGATATAGGTTTTCCAATTACACTACCTTGTTCTCAACTGACATTTAGGAAATCCTCATACATTTCTTCTAATCATAACAGCTTTTCCTCCATATCTGATTTGTTGGTGGAACATATTTGGATTTATATGACTGGGCCGTTTGTCCAGACTCTTGGGCACACTGTGGTGACAGCAAAGCACTCACTCCCTGCACCTCAGTGTGTGCCTCTGCCAGTCTGAGGACTTGTGGGTGTAGGATAAACACTGGGGCTTTTCCTTAGGGGATAACCAGGGAGCCTGCCTACCTTATTAAGAATACTACAGAGCAACCGTGAGGGAAGTCACATTTCCCTAAAGCTCTGTACTCATTGTACCTGGTGTTACTTTGAATTTATATAAAGTGATAATTCTGGTGTGTTTCTCATTTACTTTAAAAGGGTAATAGGCTAGAAGTATCTTCTCTTACTGTGAAAGAAAAATGCTAAAATGTTGTACTTTTTTGTTTTGTTTTTTGTGTGACTCTGGCAACATTGTCGATCAGTCAACATCCCAAAAAATGCTGGTAAGTTTATCTCGATAACAACCACCTGATTGTTGCACTGTTGTGATTTAATTTTTTCTTTAATCCATGTTTTATTTGACCAATACACTGGCTCTCACTCGTAATTGCACATCATGGACCTGGGTCTACTGGTCACTTTCATATTTCCCACCCCAATGCACCTGTGTGTGGATGTGTGTGTGCCAGACCTGGGTTTAAATACGATTTGTTGTCTTTCAAATACTTTAGCTGTGCGTGATTGAGCTTGTCTGGTGCAATAGAAATGATGGAATAGGACTAGTCCCTAAGGTGTAAACTACGCCCATCTGACACGCCAGGCAGGCTCAAATCACATTTTGAAAGTATTTGAAAGAAATCAGATGGTGCTACTATTTGAACCCAGGTGTGGTGTGTGTGTGTTAGTGCGTGTGGTGGCGGTCGGTTGGTGGTTCTAAGGCCACGGCCCGCTCTGCTCGTTGGATTTGGAAAGGAGCAAAAAAATTCCACATTGCCTGCTTTTCCATAGTGCTCCCGTCCCCTTTCTGCACCCCTCTATCCAACTGCTTTACACCCTTTCACCTCTGCCAAGTTTCAATCTTGCTCTTCAATCATTATATTTGTTGTAGTCCTGTGACTTTTCTTTTTTGATAATCATATGCGCATGTCTGGAAGCCTGCACCTGCATTATGTCAATCGGTTCTTGTACTGTACGTGTTTGTGATTTGGTCACTGTCCACTTCTCACTTCTTCTAGTCTTGAATGGGTCATATTCCTTAGTTAAAAACAAAACAAGTGCTTTTTGTATTAATGGATTTCTTTCCTTGTGATTGCCTTCATCAAACACTGAATGATCCTATTATTAGCCAGGGCCCAGTTTCCCAAAATAACTTAAGACCTGTCATTGCTTTTGGGAAACCGGGCCCTGATTGATTTGGTTAATCTGTCGTGTTCTAGTGATTCAGTGATCATCCTCACATTGTCTGAGTTGTGCAGTGGTCAGATTTTGTCTTAATACCAGTGCATGAATGCTACTGTTTCTTCCTCTCTGTCTGTGAGGTAAACTGTTGGTAGACTCATGGGTGGATAACCATTATCTATTACACAGCTTTGCGTACACCAACATTGTAATGCTTGGCTCACATAGGCATCATGTGATTTGGAATGGCCATACAGGCATACAAAACATTTTTTAAATGAAAAACCAGTAGATTCAAGCCTTCTTTAGCCAGCCTTTTAGAAACCTGTATATTATGTTTTGGAAGTGGTGTAGTTGAGGGACAAACTCAGTTTTGACTAGCTCACTGTTTAAATTTCACATTCATTTGATGTATGTTGGAAGTCAGATTTCCCTTTTGTCCTTCATTTTCAGAGGTGAGCTAGCGTCAGTGTGTGACCCAAGAAGTATATTTTTAAGATGCATGATCTGAGAGTTCTGTCAGACTTGCATAGATAGGGCAGTTGTTAGTGCTAAGCGATTAACCACATATACTTTTTTTTGGGGGGGTGGTGGGTATTAAACAACTAATTGACCATCTGTTAAATTCCTTGAATTCCATTTAGTTACGTTTTTTCTGTGAGCCCAACGCGCCATTTCTCTAGAGAAATCAATAATTTACTAAATAAATAAATCAAGTCAAGAACTGTGGGACGCTGGGCTGAAGGGAGTTGTAGTTTTCATTAAGCAAATATTCAACCTAGTTCAGCTCAGGAACCATAACCCATTGCGCCTGTTCTTTCCAGTTTGGACAGAGATGGATACACTTCTATGCCTGCTACGTTAGGTTAGATACACACAGACCGCATGAGGGAGGAAAGAACACAACGATAGAGGGATAGAAACAGTTCATGAAAGTATGCCTTATCTAGAACTAATAAAACAATTTTGTCAGACAGCTCTGCAGCATACTTAGGCAGGCTAGCCTAGCTAAATAGGATGACTAAAGACAGTACGGTATGGAGAACACTGTGATAACGTTGTCTGGCTGCTACTGCCTGAGCAGAGATTATGACTTTGTAAGGAATTAAAAATAAAGTAATCAAATAAAAACTAAGTAACAAACTCAACTGAAATATTTTATTATTTCATAGTAATGTCCTATTGATGTATACCCATAGTGAACCTGAGAGCAACAATGGAATATTTTCAATGTTTTGGCAGTTGAATGTTCCCTATTTCCATTAAAAAGCTCTAAAAATCATTTTAATGTCATTATTTCATAATTCATTTAATGTAAAAAATAATAATCTAAACTAAAATCGAAAAACGTTTTATTTTTATAAACCTGAACCAACTTCAAAAAGCACTAGTTGTTGTTTTGGGGGTGGACTACAACCTTTCTGAGCTTGCATCCTTCCACCATTTAACTTGACTGCAATGAAAACTCACAGACCACCTGGTGTATACAGTTTGCTTCCAAGCATAATCAGTCATTCACTCACTCTGGCTCCCTAAAGGCAGTGTGTTCTGAGGTGCATTGACTCTGGGCTCTGTGTGTCTAATAACATGTCCTCTTTTCCAGTCCACCCCACTGCACCTGGCGGCTGGCTACAACCGCGTACGCATCGTCCAGCTACTGCTGCAGCACGGTGCAGACGTCCATGCCAAGGACAAAGGGTAAGACCACTCTGAAATAGACTGCATCCCAAAAAGACCTTACTGGTTAAAAGTAGTGCACTATATTGGAAATAAGGAGCCATTTGGGAAGCAGGCAAAAACCTTTGTTGTATTTATACAGCGGAAGCACCCCGCTGTTTCCTCGTCTAAGACCATTCTCAGACATTTTCACAGCTGAGAAAGTCAACCACATAGTCATAGAGTGATATAATATGTTCATTGTAGTACTTGAAATGAATGATTATTCAATTAAATGGCGGTATATTTTTGTCATACAGTGGCCTGGTCCCTCTTCACAATGCCTGCTCCTATGGACACTTTGAGGTCACAGAGCTTCTTCTCAAGGTAAGGGTTCTATATACCTGTCATTGATGCCCCACTTTAATTTGACTTTTAGAATGTTGAATGCTTTTATTGATAGAATAACTGATTAACTCGTCTGTGTGTTTACAGCATGGAGCATGTGTAAATGCCATGGACCTGTGGCAGTTCACCCCTCTCCACGAGGCTGCATCTAAGAACCGTGTGGAGGTGTGTTCTCTGTTGCTGAGCCACGGTGCCGACCCCAACCTGCTCAACTGCCACAGCAAGAGCGCCGTGGACATGGCCCCCACCCCCGAACTTAAAGAGCGGCTCACCTGTGAGTTCTGTTGGTAGACATGCATACACACACACCCCATATACATGATAACAAAGAAAGAAAGCATACTTATATACACACATGCATCACTCCCTATTCACAAAGACTACAGACAGGACACAACACACTCTCACACGCGCTGCCTTCTAAACTGAAGGGAATGCCTGCCTGAGCACTCAGATCTTCTCAGATTGATGTTGTCAATATCCTCTTTCTGCCATCCAGATGAGTTTAAAGGTCATTCGCTGCTCCAGGCAGCTCGGGAGGCAGACATGGCCAAGGTGAAGAAGACCCTGGCTCTGGAGATCATCAGCTTCAAACACCCACAGACCAATGAGACAGCCCTGGTGAGATCCCTTCTCCTTCTGGCTAATGCTCAATGTCACAGTGCTGACACCTAACATTATCTCATAATATACAGCTATGAATGTGTCACAAATGGCAAACTATTCCCTATATAGTGGACTACTTTTGAAAAGTGGTGCGCTATAAATGGGCCGTGGTCAAAAGTAGTGCACTATATAGAGAACACGGGTGCCATAATATTATGTCTATCAGAACGTGTTTGTGTGACATGCATAACCTAGGTTGACCACTATAAAACGAGTACAAAACCTGAGATGAATTTTACATAAAGCATGTGATGGACAGTGATTAATGGAAGGTGTTGTCCCTCTGTTTCAGCACTGTGCCGTTGCTTCCCCTCACCCCAAACGGAAGCAGGTGACCGAACTGCTGCTGCGTAAAGGTGCCAACGTCAACGAGAAGAACAAAGAGTAAGACCATTAAAACTCTGAGACCATGTATCAGTGTTTCCCCTACCACTGTATAAGAATAGTTTGGTACCTATTGGTTTCAATTGAGAATGTTGGGGTTTTTGGGACCTTTGCATGCAGTCTGGAAACACTGTCATATGCATTCATATAGCCCCTGAGTGAGGCACTAATGGTTGTCTTTGTCTCTCTCTCTCGTCCTGTCTGTAGCTTCATGACGACCCTACATGTAGCGGCTGAGAGAGCACACAACGACATCCTGGAGGTGCTGCAGAAACATGGAGCCAAGGTACACACTACAGGGTCTCACTAATACCATATCATTTAATGTACCTTTTCATCTATCTCTTTTCTCTCCTTTCTCTCTCACTTGCTCTCAGCCTCTATTTGATAATGTAACTCAAAATATTTCATGAAATAAATGTATCACATTGAGCTGTGAGTATGTTGCTGTTTGCGTGACTGACTCTTCCCTCTGTCCTTCTCCGTCTCCCTCCCTCCCTCCAGGTAAATGCGGTGGACACCCTGGGGCAAACTGCCCTCCACAGGGCAGCCCTGGCGGGCCACATCCAGACGTGCAGGCTGCTGCTGAGCTACGGGGCCGACCCGGCCATCGTCTCCCTGCAGGGCTTCACTGCGGCACAGATGGGGAACGAGGCCGTGCAGCAGATCCTCAATGGTACAGTAGTAGAGCGTCTTGGTTAAATACAAAGATTATCTTTTATATTCTTCTATCTACATTGTGATTGACAATGTTGCTTGTGTGGATGTAAGATGCATGGCCTTAAAATCTAGGCTATGCTCATCAATGTTGGAAAGTTAGCAGGATGTATAACAGAGAAACTATCGATTATGTTGCCCATACGTCTTACACAGTGTTTTTTAATGTCTCGGTATGTGTTATTTAACAATGTTGTTGGTCCCTTTCCTACAGAAAATATTCCAACTCGTAACTCTGATGTGGACTACCGGTTTCTGGAAGCCGCTAAGGCTGGAGATTTGGACACTGTGCAGGTAACCTGATCAGCTACATCGTCTCAGGTTCATGAATTCAATCACGTTATATGCGTCAACCATGCTCTACATACCACCATGAATCCAAAATGTCTCCCTCAGCCCTCTCTCACTCCTGATCTTCTGTCTATGTTGTCTTGTCTGTGTGTTGTAGCAACTCTGCACTCCTCAGAACGTGAACTGTCGGGACCTGGAGGGTCGTCACTCTACCCCTCTGCACTTTGCTGCAGGCTACAACCGTGTGGCCGTGGTGGAGTACCTGCTACATCATGGAGCTGACGTACATGCTAAAGACAAAGGGTACGTGTCGTCCTCCTATGACACTCTAGGAGGACAAGGTAGCCTAGGGGGTAAAGCGTTGGGAGAGTAACTGAAAGATTGCTGGTTCGGAACCCCGAGCCGGCAATAAAATTTTTTAATAAAATTGCTCCTGTAAGTCACTCTGGATAAGAGCGTCTGCTAAATGATTAAAATGTTAATCTACTACCTCGGTCTGTCCCTACTGTTTTTGACGAGACTGCTGCTTTTGCATCAGATAGTCAGTAAAAAGGCTTTAATTCTGTATTGAATAAAACTTTATCATTGGATTTTATTTTGCATTAAATACACACAGTACTTGAAACCTTCAGTGATAGAAATACATAATTTGTAGGATATCTTCCTTCAGTGGTGTAATTAGTCGTCTTCTGTCTGTCCTGCAGTGGTCTGGTGCCCCTCCACAATGCCTGCTCCTACGGTCACTATGAGGTGGCTGAGCTGCTGGTGAGACACGGGGCATCGGTGAACGTAGCTGACCTCTGGAAGTTCACCCCTCTCCACGAGGCTGCCGCCAAGGGCAAATACGAGATCTGCAAACTGCTGCTCAAGGTTAGTCTTCCTGTGCCTTTCGTATCAACTCTTCTGAAATGATCAGGTCTAAATGGCATGAGGCTACAAGGAGGCATTTGTATAGTCAAAACAGGGAAAGTATGTATAGCAATAAGAGATTTTCAACGACAGAACAAACTATTTAACTAAGAGATTTTTGTATGTATACTGAACAAAAATATTAACACAACAAGTGTTGGTCCCATGTTTCATGAGCTGAAATAAAAGATCCCAGAAATGTTCCATGTGCACAAAAAGTTTATTTTGCTAAAATGTTTTGTACAAATTTGATTACATCACTGTTAGTGATGATTTCTCCTTTGTCAAGATAATCCATCCAGCTGACAGGTGTAGCATATCAAGAAGGTGATTAAACAGCATGACCATTACACAGGTGTACCTTGTGCTGGGGACAATAAAGGGCCACTCTGAAATGTGCAGTTTTGTCACACAACACAATGCCACAGATGTCTCAAGTTTTTTGACTGCAGTTCGGCGTCGTAACTGACTTCAGTGGGCAAATGCTCACCTTCGATGGCCACTGGCATGCTGGAGAAATGTGCTCTTCACGAATTAATCCCAGTTTCAACTGTACCAGGCAGATGACAGACAGCATGTATGGCATCGTGTGGACGAGCTGATTGTTGTGAACAATGTGCACCATGGTGGGGTTATGGTATGGGCAGGCATAAGCTACGGACAACAAATAATTGCATTTTATCGATTGGCAATTTGAATGCACAGAGATCCCGTGACAAGGTCCAGAGGCCCATTCCAGGTCGTGCCATTCATCCGCTGCCATCACCTCATGTTTCATGATGACAATGCACCATGTTGCAAGGATCTGTACACAATTCCTGGAAGCTGAAAATATCCCAGTTCTTCCATGGCCTGCATACTCACCAGACATGTCACCCATTGAGCATGTTTGGGATGCTCTGGATCGACGTATGACAGCGTGTTCCAGTTCCAGACCTCTTCACACAGTCATTGAAGAGGAGTGGGACAACATTCCACAGGCCACTATCAACTGCCTGATCAACTGTATGCAAAGGAGATGTGTCGCGCTGCATGAGGCAAATGGTGGTCACACCAAATACTGACTGGTTTTCTCATCCACGCCCCTACCTTTTTTAAGGTATCTGTGACCAACAGATGCATATCTGTATTCCCAGTCATGTGAAATCCATAGGTTAGGGCCTAATTAATTTATTTCAGTTGACTGATTTCCTTATATGAACTGTAACTCAGTAAAATCTTTGATATTGTTGCATGTTGCATTTATATTTTTGTTCAGTGTATATTTATGATGATGATTATGTTTCTCCAGCATGGAGCGGACCCCACCAAGAAGAACCGTGATGGTAACATGCCTCTGGACATGGTGAAGGATGGAGACACGGACATCCAGGACCTGCTGAGAGGAGACGCTGCCCTGCTGGACGCTGCTAAGAAGGGCTGTCTGGCCCGAGTCCAGAAACTCTGCAGCCCAGAGAACATCAACTGTAGAGACACACAGGGACGTAACTCCACCCCCCTGCACCTCGCAGGTACTGGACATACCGGCCTTCAAAATCAATTCATGGAATCAATCAAATCAAAGCACTTTTTACATTAGCAATTGTCACAAAGTGCTTTACAGTTACCCAGCCTAAACCCCTAATAGCAAGCAAAGCAGTGGAATCAATTCATTTAATAGCAAATGTGGAACCTATAAACAGACCTTTACCACTCCCAAACAGAAGTTTATCCCCTTACATAAAATGATGACAGGCAGATCATCAAACCCTGGGAATTTAGATCATTTGGAGCTGTATTATTTATTTGACACACATTACACAAATATCTTTCATTAATGTTTTTTGTAAGGTAGACTGTCATGTTGTTTCATGTTGTCATCTGTCATGTTTCCCGCCTCTGTAGCTGGCTACAACAACCTGGAGGTGGCGGAGTATCTCCTGGAGCACGGGGCTGACGTCAATGCACAGGACAAAGGAGGCCTCATCCCCCTGCACAACGCTGCCTCCTATGGGGTGAGTCCGCACCAAGACTATGTCAGGCCTTGGAAACCATTGTACATGCTGTACGGTTTGACATAAGGTTTTATAGCATAGACAATGCATATAAAACACCTACCCTTTGACCTTTTGGCCTAAAATATGTAACAGCTTGGAGGATTTCTTAGAAGCTATTGTATGCATTGTTTAGGTTACAAAACCTAATGGAAAACCATACAGTACAGGACAAAACACCCACACTGTGATGAAAGTGACCTTGTGGAAAGCTTAGATATGTAACAGCTTGGATGTCATCAGTTTTGGGGCATGTCATGATTTATATTGTGTTGCTGATCTCTCCTCTCGTGTCTCTCCTCATCTGCTACTTCTATCCTCTCCTCTGCTCCTCTCCTGTCTTTCCTCTTTCTCTCCTACAGCATGTGGACATTGCTGCCCTCCTGATAAAGTTCAGTACATGTGTGAACGCTACAGATAAGTGGGCCTTCACCCCCCTCCACGAAGCAGCTCAGAAGGGCCGTACCCAGCTGTGTGCTCTGCTGCCTGGCCCACGGAGCGGAACCCCCCCCCATGAAGAACCAGGAGGACAGACTGACGCTGGAACCTGGCCTAAGGTAACACTTTCTTGCTCTCCTACTGTTAGAGCAGTTAGCAATGCCACCAAATGATGTTTTTTTTTGCTGTAAATGGCTGGCATTTGCTTGAATTATGAGTGCTTAAAATGTTTCCCATCTACAGTGCATTCGGGTACCGTATTTGGTCGAATATAGAGACCCTGATATGAGTTTGCAACAAATTGAAAAACAGTTTGCGACTAGATTGCGAACAAAGACTTCATTCTTTTAAAATAACTAAAAACAGATTAAACAGGCAACTATGTCAGGATTCAAATTATATCAAGCAATAATAACAACATTTTTAAATAACAGAGAAAATACAGGCCACACATTTAACTAAACTTAACAAAAATTCGCCAAACTTCTCCTCCGATGTCTCTCTATCCCTCACACACGTCCTCTGCCCCGCTGTGTTCGCTCTCGCTGTCATCGCTCCCCAGCTGCTCCGCTTCCACCGGCTCCTCCCAAAGCACGTCGTCCTCGCTGCCGTCCAATGCATTTGAGATGCAACATTTTTTAAAGCCATCGATGATGCTCTGTGAGGGAATAGCATCCCATGCATGCAGGATCCATTCACACAGTAGACGGACTGACGGCTTCTGTATTTTCCCGGTCGGTGTGAGTGCGTGGTTGCCAGACAGGAGCCACTCTGTGTATTTTTTTCGCAGGTTATCCTTGAAAGGCTTGTTCACAACTACGTCCAACACCTGTAGCTGGCTTGTCATTCCCCCTGGTATGATCACAAGATCCCCGTTCATTGCTCGCACCTGACTTTTCACGGGCTCAGTCAGATGTCCGCGGAACGCATCCAGAACGAGCATGTTCCTCCTCTTCCTCAGTCCCCCGTAGCGTGCGCCCCACACAACCTTTAGCCAGTCCACTACAAGCCCCGACTCCATCCAGCCCTTCTCCTGGGCGCGCACAATAATGCCAGCTGGCATTGGGTCCTTTGGCACAGTCTTACGCTTAAGAATGACATACGGGGGGAGTTTGCTGCCACCAGCGAGACATGTCAACATGACAGTGACGCGGCTCTTCTCGTTGCCCGTTGATTTCACCAACACAGACTTTTCTCCCTTTCTATTGACAGTCACCGATGTTGGCATGTCGAAATAAACGGGTGTCTGATCAGCATTGCCGATCTGATCCAGCGGGTAGGAGTGCTTCTTCCTCAGGTTGATAACAAAGCGCTGAAACGAAAGCAGCTTCTCTCCGAAGTCTGACGGCAGGCGTTGGGCCAAACTCGTTCTCCGTCTAAGTGACAGTCCATTACGCCGCATCATCCTACGACACCAGCCGAGGCTGGCTTTAAATCCAGTGATGTTGAGCTCTCTGGCGATTTCCAGGGCCTTAACCTGGATGACAGCTCTGGTAATGGGCATTCCCTCACTTCTTTTTTCCCTGACATATTCAAAAACCCTCCGGTCAACCTCAATGAAACGACCACTTTGAGGACCACGGAAGGATTTTCGCTGACTGTTAGCATCTTTTAGACGTTGTTTTTCTGCTCGCCATCTTCTTACATTACACTCAGTGACCCCGAATGTCTTGGCAGCTTGGCAGTTGTTAGATGACTCTGCCTTATTGACAACCATTATTTTGAAATTGGCATCATAGCTCCTCCGCTGTTGTTTATTGACCTGGCCCACTTTTGAGCCACTTGTCTCTAAATGGTCAGCCTGTCTTTCCATCTTTAAACACCGGTAACGGGCTGGTTGTTAAGGACGCCTCTTCCCTCCGTCCGGAACGAATTTTTGGCGCCATCTGTGCCCGCGAATGTGTATTGACATTTAAAGGGAGCGTTTTCACGTTAGAGCCTTATTCTAAAATGGATTAAATAAATACAAATCTTCAACAATCTATACACAATACCCCATAATGAGAAAGCGAAAACAGGTTTTTAGAAATGTGTGCAAATGTATTAGAAATACATTTGGATTGTGTCGAGGCACAGATCTGGGGAAGGGTACCAAAAAATTTCTGCGGCATTGAAGGACCCCAAGAACATAGTGGCCTCCATCATTCTTAAATGGAAGAAGTTTGGAACGACCAAGACTCTTCCTAGAGCTGGCCGCCCGGCCTAACTGAGCAATCAGGGGAGAAGGGCCTTGGTTAGGGAGGTGACCAAGAACCTGATGGTCACTCTGACAGAGTTCCTCTGTGGAGATGGGAGAACCTTCCAGAAGTACAACCATCTCTGCAGCACTCCACCCATCAGGCCTTTATGGTAGAGTGGCCAGACGAAAGCCACTCCTCAGTAAAAGGCACATCACAGCCCGCTTGGAGTTTGCCAAAAGGCACCTAAAGACTCTCAGACCATGAGAAACAAGATTCTCTGGTCTGATTAAACCAATATTGAACTCTTTGGCTTGAATGCCAAGCATCATGTCTGAAGGAAACCTGGCACCATCCCTACGGTGAAGCATGGTGGTGGCAGCATCATGCTGTGGGGGATGTTTTTCAGCGGCAGGGACTGGGAGACTAGTCAGGATCGAGGGAAAGATGAACGGAGCAAAGTACAGAGAGATCCTTGATGAAAACCTGCTCAGGACCTCAGACTGGGGCGAAGGTTCACCTTCCAACAGGACAACTACCCTAAGCACACAGCCAAGACAACGCAGGAGTGGCTTCGGGACAAGTCTCTGAATGTTCTTGAGTGTGGCACAGCCAGAGCCCAGACTTGAACCTGATCTCTGGAGAGACCTGAAAATAGCTGTGCAGCGACGCTCCCCATCCAACCTGACAGAGCTTGAGAGGATCTGCAGAGAAGAATGGGAGAAACTCCACAAATACAGTTGTGCAAAGCTTGTAGCGTCATATCCAAGAAGACTCAAGTCTGTAATCGCTGCCAAAGGTGCTTCAACAAAGTACTGAGTAAAGGGTCTGAATACTTATGTAAATGTCATATTTCTGTTTTTTATTTTTAATACATTTGCAAAAACATCTGCAAACCTGTTTTTGCTTCGTCATTATGTGGAATTGTGTGTAGATTGTGGGAAAAACAACAACAATTTAATCAGTTTTAGAATATGGCTGTAACGTAACAATGTGGAAAAAGTCAAGGGGTCTGAATTCTTTCTGAATGCCCTGTATATATTTTGACACACTTTGAAATTAGGGATTTGGCCATTACTGAAACAGCCTGAAATTCTAACATTTAGACCAACCAGTCGAGCCCCTTCTCACCCATGACTTCTCCCTCTAAATTATGTCTTCCTCCTCCTCTCTTAGGCTGATGACATCCGTGCCCTGCTGATGGATGCCATGCCCCCAGATGCCCTGCCCAGCTGCTTCAAGCCCCAGGCCACGGTGGTCAGTGCCGGCTCAGTCATCTCCCCAGCCTCCACGCCCTCCTGCCTGTCTGCAGCCAGCAGCATCGACAACCTGGCCGGGCCCCTCAACGAGCTGGGGGCCGCAGGGACCTCCGGGGTGGCCGACGGGGCCACGGGAATCGACAGGAAGGAGGGGGAATGTGAGTAGAGATAAAGAGCCTGGATCAAAACTGAGCTGGGTTTTAGCAAGCAGCTGATATTCTACTAGTTTTGGTAGAATATGGTTGAAGTCTTAGTCAATAATTTTACTCTCATGCTGAATTTGCTCGTGTGGTGTTTGTATTCCAGTGGCGATATTGGACATGAACATCGGTCAGTTCCTGAAGAGCTTGGGTCTGGAGCATCTAAGGGAAATCTTTGAGAGAGAACAGGTGAGTGTTCATTGATTGGGTTTCATGTTATTATTTGTAATTTAATAGGGCATCTAATTAGTCTGACATTTTATCTGTCTTTACCCCTCTTGGAGTATCTGTTCTCATGTCACAGTTCAGGATCCCTGCTCTGTACCAAATGTCCTGTTTTCTCCCAGATCTCTCTAGATGTGCTGGCTGACATGGGTCACGAGGAACTGAAGGAGATTGGGATCAACGCTTACGGCCACCGACACAAACTCATCAAGGGAGTGGAGAGGCTGTTGGGGGGACAACAAGGTCAGGACATTCCCAGAGAAATCTCTGAGGAGCTAGAAATCTCTGTGGAGCTGATGTGGTGGTTCCCATTTATTGCTGCGTCAAATACTTCCCAGACTATTCCTCCTATTCCTGGAATGAAGATTCTCTATTGAAAGTTGTTTTTAGTTCAAGATTAGGCCAAATGTGTCCAGTATACTTGCCCTTAAAGTATAGGTGGGAAACCACCCCAATATGAAACCACGTATGAGTGCTTTGTTTGTTCTCCAGGTGCCAACCCGTATCTGACATTCCACTGTGCCAACCAGGGCACGGTCCTCATCGACCTAGCCCCTGACGACAAGGAGGGCCAATCAGTGGAGGAGGAGGTGGGTACAGATATATACTACCGTTCAAAAGTTTGGGGTCACTTAGAAATGTCCTTGTTTTCGAAAGAAAAGCAATTTTGGTGTCCATTAAAATAACATCAAATTGATCAGAAATACAGTGTAGACATTGTTAATGTTGTAAATGGCTATTGTAGTGGGAAATCTACATAGGCGTACAGAGGCCCATTATCAGCAACCATCAGTCCTGTGTTCCAATGGCACGTTGTGTTTGCTAATCCAAGTTTATCATTTTAAAAGGCTAATTGATCATTAGAAAACCCTTTTGCAATTATGTTAGCACAGCTGAAAACTGTTGTGCTGATTTAAAGAAGCAATAAAATTGGCCTTCTTGAGACTAGTTGAGTATCTGGAGCATCAGCAATTGTGGGTTCGATTACAGGCTCAAAATGTCCAGAAACAAAGAACTTGCTTCTGAAACTCGTCAGTCTATTCTTGTTCTGAGAAATGAAGGCTATTCCATGTGAGAAATTGCCAAGAAACTGAAGATCTCGTACAACGCTGTGTACTACTCCCTTCACAGAACAGCGCAAACTGGCTCTAACCAGAATAGAAAGAGGAGTGGGAGGCCCCAGTGCACAACTGAGCAAGAGGACAAATACATTAGAGTGTCTAGTTTGAGAAACAGGCGCCTCACAGGTCCTTAACTGGCAGCTTCATTAAATAGTACCCGCAAAACACCAGTCTCAAGGTCAACAGTGAAGAGGCGACTCCGGGATGCTGACCTTCTAGGCAGATTTGCAAAGAAAAAGCCGTATCAGACTGGCCAATAAAAATAAAAGATTTAAGATGGGCAAAAGAACACAGACACTAGACATAGGAAGATTGGAAAAAAGTGTTATGGACAGACAAATTGAAGTTTGAGGTGTTCGGATCACAAAGAAGAACATTTGTGAGACTCAAACCAAATGAAAAGATGCTGGAGGAGTGCTTGATGCCATCTGTCAAGCATGGTGGAGGCAATGTGATGGTCTGGGGGTGCTTTGGTGGTGGTAAAGTGGGAGATTTGTACAGGGTTGAAAGGGATCTTGAAGAAGGAAGGCTTTCACTCCATTTTGCAACGCCATGCCATACCCTGTGGACGGTGCTTGATTGGAGCCAATTTCCTCCTACAACAGGACAATGACCCAAAGCACAGCTCCAAACTATGCAATAACTATTTAGGGAAGAAGCAGTCAGCTGGAATTCTGTCTGTGCTGGCCACGCCATTATAGTCACTGGATCTCAACCCTATTGTGCTGTTGTGGGAGCAGCTTGACCGTATGGTACGTAAGAAGTGCCCATCAAGCCAATCCAACTTGTGGGAGGTGCTTCAGGAAGCATGGGGTGAAATCTCTTCAGATTACCTCAACAAATTGACAACTAGAATGCCAAAGGTCTGCAAGGCTATAATTGCTGCAAATGGAGGATTCTTTGACGAAAGCAAAGTTTGAAGGACACAATTATTATTTCAATTAATCATTATTTCTAACCTTGTCAATGACTACATTTCCTATTCATTTTGCGATATTTCCTATTCAAACTCATTTCATGTATGTTTTCATGGAAAACAAGGACATTTCTAAGTGACCCCAAACATTTGAACGGTAGTGTACATATACATACATACATACATACATACATACATACATACATACATACATACATACATACATACATACATACATACATACATACATACATACATACATACATACATACATACATACATACATACATACATACATACATACATACATACATACATACAGGACCAGTCAAAAGTTTGGACACACCTACTCATTCAAGGGGTTTTCTTTACTATTTTCTACATTGTATAATAATAATGAAGACATCAAAACTTTGAAATAACACATTGAGTCATGTAGGAACCAAAAAAGTGTTAAACAAATCAACATATATTTTACATTTGAGATTCTTCAAATAGCCACCCTTTGCATTGATGGCAGTTTTGCACACGCTTGGCATTCTCTCAACCAGCTTCATGAGGAATGCTTTTCCAACAGTCTTGAAGGAGTTCCCACATATGCTGAGCACTTGTTGGCTGCTTTTCCTTCACAGTTTTGCCCCAAAACATTTACAGCAAGGACATATTGACATATTTTTATAAAATGTTTTATTTATTTTACTATTTCATGCTGAAACCCTCATATTAAAAAACAATGGTATTCATTAAGTTGGATGGTTTATATTTAGGATGTTTTACAGCTTTGTCATTATTATTATTATTATTATTATTATTATTATCGAAGGTGTTTTTTAAATATATTTTATATAGGGGGCCAGAGAAAAGACTCCTCTGACAATCTGAAGTACCCAGAAACGCCACTAGATGTCATCTTTTTTTATATTCCTTGATAGTTACCAAAATTCTGATAGTTTCTAGTAATATACCCTCCCTTTGCAACCCTACTCAAGGGTGAAAGAATGCCATGTTTGGAGAAATGTAATGAAATCCTGTGATTTTTAGACATGTATTTTTCTTCTCTCTGCTCCAGATGCAAAGTACCATCAGAGAACACAGAGATGGAGGTAACGCAGGAGGGGTGTTCAGCAGATACAATATCATCAAGGTCAGCTTTACATGACATTACTACACACTATACTATCTACATTTGCTCATATGATGGAGCTCATTGAGCTAGAAATACACACTTTACACACAATCTTTACTTTAGGACTACCCTCGAGCACAGTTATTGGTTGGTAAGAATGCACTATGGTTTCAGGAACTCAGGTTAGCAATCCCATCTTCTGAAAAGGAAGGAAGATTAGAAGTCATCAGTTTTTCCTAGCCATCGTGCTTCTGCATTGCTTGCTGTTTGGGGTTTTAGGCTGGGTTTCTGTATAGCACTTTGTGACATCTGCTGATGTAAAAAGGGCTTTAGAAATATATTTGATCAGTATTGCTGCTCTAGTTGATTCCTGTCTGTGTGTCCATGCAGATTCAGAAGGTGGTCAACAAGAAGCTGCGGGAGCGATACACACACCGCCAGAAGGAGATCTCGGACGAGAACCACAACCACCACAATGAGCGCATGCTCTTCCATGGTAACAAGACATATTCCGTATTCATATTACAACCTGTGTGTTTTTTACCACGCTTCTTGTTATTTCTGAATGGCAATGATGTCTTAACTGATCATCACTGGATAAATGTTAACCCTGTTAATTATTATTTATTGTTTTTAATCGTATTTGACGTTGTTCTTGTTTCATGTCTTTTGGTTCTCCAGGTTCTCCGTTCATAAATGCCATCATCCACAAAGGCTTTGACGAGCGGCATGCGTACATCGGAGGAATGTTTGGAGCAGGGATCTACTTTGCTGAGAACTCCTCTAAGAGTAACCAGTATGTTTATGGCATTGGGGGCGGCACCGGATGCCCCACTCACAAAGACCGCTCCTGTTACCTGTGCCACAGGTGAGACATGATCTATAGAAATAACAAATATTTAGGTGCATTAAGGCTTTACTACTCAAACTCATGAAAAGAGAGCACTTGATGACTCGTGAGCATTCCATACCACTGTTGCCAAACTAGTGCCCTTCAATCAATTAATCAATCAATTACAGCCTTCATCAGAGCTTTGATAATTGTGAAACATCATTAGTGAAACATCATTTGACGCCTCTTCTCCCTGTTATCTATGACCTCCAGGCAGATGTTATTCTGCCGTGTAACCCTGGGGAAGTCCTTCCTCCAGTTCAGTGCCATGAAGATGGCCCACGCCCCCCCTGGACACCACTCTGTGATTGGCCGGCCCAGCGTCAACGGCCTGGCCTACGCAGAATACGTAATCTACAGAGGAGAGCAGGTGAGACCTTAACTCCATTCAACTTTATTTATCCCCAAAGGCAAGTCCAGACATTAGGGACACAGATTAAGCCTAGACCTGGACTAAAAAGCATACACAATGGAAAATAATTTGTACTCCAGTACTTATTACACTGAACACAAATATAAACACAACATGTAAAGTGTTGGACCCATGTTTCATGAGCTGAAATAAAAGATCCCAGAAATGTTCCATATACACAAAAAGGTATTACTCAAATTGTGCACAAATGCGTTTACATCCCTGTTAGTGAGCATTTCTCCTTTGCCTAGATAATCCATCCACTTGACAGGTGTGGCATATCAAGGAGCTGATTAAACGGCATGATCAATGCACAGGTGCATCTTGTGCTGGGGACTATAAGGCCTCCTGTAGCTCAGTTGGTAGAGCATGGCGCTTGCAACGCCAGGGTTGTGGGTTCGATTCCCACGGGGGGCCAGTATGAAAAATGTATGCACGCACTAACTGTAAGTCGCTCTGGATAAGAGCGTCTGCTAAATGACTAAAATGTATAAAAGGTCACTACAATGTTCAGTTGTCACACAACACAATACCACAGATGTCTCAAGTTGAGGGAGCGTGCAATTGGCATGCTTACTGAAGTAATGTCCACCAGAGTTGTTGCCAGAGAATTGAATGTTCGTTTCTCTACCATAAGCCGCCTCCAAAGTTGTTTTAAAGAATTTGGCAGTATGTCCAACCGGCCTCACAACCGCAGACCACGTGTAACCACGCCAGCTCAGGACCTCCACATCCGGCTTCTTCACCTGCGGGATCGTCTGAGACCAGCCACCCGGACAGCTGATGAAACTATGGGTTTGCCCAACTGAAGAATTTCTTCACAAACTGTCAGAAACTGTCTCAGAGAGGCTCATCTGCGTGCGTGTCGTCCTCACCAGAGTCTTGACCTGACTGCAGTTCGGCGTTGTAACCGACTTCGGTGGGCAAATGCTTACCTTGAATGCTCACTGGCACCCTAGAGAAGTGTGCTCTTCGGATGAATCCCGGTTTCAACTGTACCGGGCAGATGGCAGACGGCGTGTGTGGCGTTGTGTTGTTAAGCGGTTTGCTGATGTCAATGTTGTGAACAGAGTGCCCCATGGTGGCGGTGGGGTTATGGTATGTGCAGGCATAAGCTACGGACAACGAACACAATTGCATTTTATTGATGGCAATTTGAATGCACAGAGATACCGTGACGAGATCCTGAGACCTGTTGTCGTGCCATTCAGCCACCGCCATCACCTCATCTTTCAGCATGATAATGCACAGCCCCATGTCGCAAGGATCTGTACACAATTCCTGGAAGCTGAAAATATCCCAGTTCTTCCATGACCTGCATACTCACCAGACATGTCACCCATTGAGCATGTTTCGGATACTTTGGATTGACGTGTACAACAGAATGTAAGACGACATGTTCCAGCCAATATCCAGGAACTTTGCACAGCCATTGAAGAGTGGGTCAACGTTCCACAGACCACAATCAACAGCCTGATCAACTCTATGTGAAGGAAATGTGTCGCGCTGCAGGAGGCAAATGGTGGTCACATCTGATACTGACTGGTTTTCTGATCCACGCATCTGTGACCAACAGAGGCATATCTGTATTCCCAGTTGTGAAATCCATAGATTAGGGCCTAATTTATTTATTTAAATTGACTGATTTCCTTATATGAACTGTAACTCAGTAAAATCTTTAATTGTTGTGTTTAATATTAGTTTCAGTGTATTTGATCTTCTCATTGACTTCTATCCCATGTGTGTTTTGCAGGCCTACCCAGAGTATCTCATCACCTATCAGATCCTTAAGCCGGAGAGCACAGCCGCGTCTGCTGCAGGAGCGGAGCAGAAGTCCTAGTCCTGCACCACCATATCAATCACACACACACACAGTTACTGAACACAGTCCTCCTGACCCACAACACAGGACTGAGGCTTTTTGGTGTTTTGTCTCTGCTTTTTTGTTTTATTGTAATGCCTAAACCTTTTTATTTTCACCCCAGATTGAGTTCCAGTTCAATTCTTCTTGTCCAGTAGAGTTAACAGTAGACTGCTCAGACAACATATGAAGTATACTGTAATATATTATCTCCTGATTGTGGTGATAGTTGCATAGACAGACGCATGTATGGCCCTATTGCGTGTGTGGGTTCCCCACTAGCTACCCCTGGAGCGGGTTGTAGAGATTCACCCTCTCGTCTGCCCTGCAGTGTCAGAATATTAACAATTCGCTACCATTCTCGCCTTGTGACTTGGAGAATCACCTCTCTTCAGCCCTGTTGTCTGTAACCCCTGTAATACTGCGCCTCCCCCCCAGCCAGCCATCCATACATACATCCAACCATACATACAAACACTACATGACCAAAAGTATGTGGACACCTGCTCGTCGAACATCTCATTCCAAAATCATGGGCATTAATATGGAGTTGGTCCCCCCCTTTGCTGCTATAACAGCCACCACTCTTCTGGGAAGGCTTTCCGCTAGATGTTGGAACATTGCTGCAGGGACTTGCTTCCATTCAGCCATGAGAGCATTAGTGAGGTCGGGCACTGATGTTGGGCGATTTGGTCTGGCTCACAGTCGGCGTTCCAATTCCTCCTAAAGGTGTTCGATGGGGTTGAGGTCAGGGCTCTGTGCAGGCCAGTCAAGTTCTTCCACACCAATCTCGACAAAACATTTCTGTATGGACCTGGCTTTGTGCACGGGGGCATTGTCATGCTGAAACAGGAAAGGGCCTTCCTCAAGCTGTTGCCACAAAGTTGGAAGCACAGAATCGTCTAGAATGTAATTGTATGCTGTAGCGTTAAGATTTCCCTTCACTGGAACTAAGGGGCCTAGCCTGTACCATGAAAGACAGCCCCAGACCATTATTCCTCCTCCACCAAACTTTACAGTTGGCACTATGCATTTGGGAAGGTAGTATTCTCCTGGCATCCGCCAAACCCAGATTCGTCCATTGGACTGCCAGATGGTGAAGCCTGATTAATCAATCCAGAGAACGCATTTCCACTGCTCCAGAGTCCAATGGCGGCGAGCTTTACACCACTCCAGCCGACGCTTGGCATTGCGCATGGTGATCTTAGGTTTGCATGCGGCTGCTCGGCCATGAAAACCCATTTCATGACACTTCCTACGAACAGTTCTTGTGCTGACGTTGCTTCCAGAGGCTTTTTGGAACTTGGTAGGGAGTGTTGCAACCGAGGACAGACTATTTTTACGTGCTTCAGCATTCGGTGGTCCCGTTCTGTGAGCTCGTGTGGCCTACCACTTTGCGGCTGAGCCATTGTTGAGGCATTTGAAGGGGTGTCCACATACTTTTGTGTGTATATATAGCGTACGTACTGTACAGCCATAGAATGTCTTATGAAATGTGTGATTTATAATGATACAGATAACACTAGTACCACATGAATTACTCAACATTATAAATAGGATTGCTTTTCATGGACTCGTCTTGAATAACCCTACTATTTGCCTGAAAGGCATAGATCAGGGCATCAGGAGAACCATAGAATTAGAATGAGGAATTCTAATTCTACAAGGACACACGGGAATGGGAAGAGAACAATCATCTACTCACACATTATTATTATTATTATTATTATTATTATTATTCGTTGCGCAAGAAAAGATGTGAACTCCAGTACCCGGATTCATGGACTTATTCAAATCCTTGTGTAAGGATTTGCACTTTTAAAGAAAAGATTTAAGTTATTTGAAATTAATTGCAAATGTTATGGTAAAAAAATGTTTATGTACAGGTTGTGTAAATGGATGTGTATAACTTGATGTTTAACAATGTAATTTGAGTTTTATTGTAAATGAAGTCTAAATTCCTTTCTGGTCTTGATTCAATCTACTTTTTGAATAAACGTCGTCCACATAAGTGCAGGTTGGTCTTTTTAATTACATGTTGTCTCTGATTATTCTTTAGTTAGTAAAATAGTATTCAGTTACTATAGTCAAACATCTGTTACTGTTACAAAACTCAAGATATCTAACAATCTTCTCTAATGATGTAGGTAGAAGTTATACATGTTTTAGTAGTAGAGAAAAGTAATTACACAGAGCTGATAATGACTCTTAAAAGCACAAAAGTTTAAAGATACATGAGGCATGTATTAATAAACTAATCCCAACAGCTTGATCAGTTCAACACACTGATTATTAGTTATTACAGCGCCATAGATAATACAAAAGTCATATTTAATAAGAAGCATGTCAGAATGTTTTAAAACTAGAACCATTACTAAACAGCAGCTACAAGACTTGAGTTTTCTGCAATGAATTCTGGCTCTCAGTCGAGTCGAGGGTCCTCGTCACTGTGGCTGGTGAAGGCATAACGTCTTCTTGAGTCTCTGGCACTGGAGTACGGACTATGGTCAGAGTACTGGCTGGTCTCTCTAGGATTATGATAGGAGGCTGTACTCCAATAGTTGGAGATAAAGGGAACCTGTTTGCATAGTATGGATTCATGGCAAAGGAATTTGTGGAATAGGGATTCAAGCTATTTGGAAACTGGTTATAGGGGTTATACATGGGGTACACAGGGTTAGGGTATGTGGGGTACGAAGGGGACAATCTATAGGTGACCTGGGGAAGAGTATTCTGTAGCACGGGGAGTCCAGGGTTGGTTCTGGTGTTTCCTCTCTGCTGACCTATCTGTGTCAGTATGGTACTTAGATCACATAGATCCTGGAACATTAACAGTAAGGGGATGGGGTCAGTGATGAGAATGTAAAACAATATAATGCCATGAAAAGCAATATTTTTCTAATACAACTCTTAAATGAATATCTTTCAAACAACCACTATATGGTATGGCTAGTGCAATAACACACAGCTTACCTCATAGCTCAAACCTCTGGCCTTCCTGACATGCACTTGATCCACCTAAATAACAAAATACGTTTTAAAGGAGACTTTAATACAGATGAATATGATAAAAACATTCAAAGGGTTATGTGTATTTTCACTTACTGGAGCTGCCAGACAAAGATATAAAGAACCAAGCAGCAAAATTAAGGTCTTCATATTGGACCTGTGAGAAAATGATTGTTTATTGGCAGATATGACTAGTTTTGCTAACTTAGCTTGTGCATTTCAGTGCATTTCCAATTTCAAAGCAAATTCAAGCATAAACATAAATCCTGTAATAAAATCTTAAGTAAAAAACTGATGAGAGAAGGCCTCATCACCACAGCTTTACCTTTGAAAAGGTTTTTGGGTCTTCTCTCGCAGACTCCTGTTGAGTTACACTTTACCCCTTTTCAATCTTTTTTCATGGCATTTCAGCCAATCAAAATACCACTTACATATCAACTACATCTATAAGGGTGTTTTCACATTTTGCAACCCCTATATGGTTGACTTGTGGTTTAATTTCTAATTAACTTAAGATTTATATCTCAACAAATAAGTTTGTCTCATGAAGATGGAATTTACCACATGCAAAAACCATTCCCCACATTGGTATCTTGGTGAAACAGGTACTACCCAAATGTTTGTTTATGTCACCATCCTCTAAATTAGGACTACTCTAGAATCCAGAACTTTCCAATTCACTGGTGTCATAGATGAAGCTGGGAAAATGTTTCATGAGTTAGATATTTTTTAATACAGCCCATCATTACCTCATTCAAACACTGTATTTTCACATGAAACATTGCCATGGGTGTGAGCATACCGCACTGTGGAGGATAGAGGGGGTTGCCTACGGCGGAGGGGGGCAGGACAAGAATTCAGTTCCAAGAACAGGTACTATACATGTACATCTCTGTATGGTTGCTGTGCTGCTCACCACAAACCTTCAGGTGGTGTTGTAATGGAACAATTGAGACATGTAATCAAAGGATATGGTTCAGGTATGGTCATTTTTGCACAACATATTTATCACTATTTCTCTATAGTACTGTGTATGACTCATAAGCCTATGTGGTTCCTTTGCAATTAAATGATCTGTTTGGAAATATTGTTGTTATTAATTTCTAAGCAATGTTTGATAAACGTGGCTGTAAACAGTTCTGAATGGATTGTCAAATAGCTACAGAAGTATTTACAGTGGGGGAAAAAAGTATTTAGTCAGCCACCAATTGTGCAAGTTCTCCCACTTAAAAAGATGAGAGAGGCCTGTAATTTTCATCATAGGTACACGTCAACTATGACAGACAAATTGAGAATTTTTCTTCTCCAGAAAATCACATTGTAGGATTTTTTTATGAATTTATTTGCAAATTATGGTGGAAAATAAGTATTTGGTCACCTACAAACAAGCAAGATTTCTGGCTCTCACAGACCTGTAACTTCTTCTTTAAGAGGCTCCTCTGTCCTCCACTCGTTACCTGTATTAATGGCACCTGTTTGAACTTGTTATCAGTATAAAAGACACCTGTCCACAACCTCAAACAGTCACACTCCAAACTCCACTATGGCCAAGACCAAAGAGCTGTCAAAGGACACCAGAAACAAAATTGTAGACCTGCACCAGGCTGGGAAGACTGAATCTGCAATAGGTAAGCAGCTTGGTTTGAAGAAATCAACTGTGGGAGCAATTATTAGGAAATGGAAGACATACAAGACCACTGATAATCTCCCTCGATCTGGGGCTCCACGCAAGATCTCACCCCGTGGGGTCAAAATGATCACAAGAACGGTGAGCAAAAATCCCAGAACCACACGGGGTGACCTAGTGAATGACCTGCAGAGAGCTGGGACCAAAGTAACAAAGCCTACCATCAGTAACACACTACGCCGCCAGGGACTCAAATCCTGCAGTGCCAGACGTGTCCCCCTGCTTAAGCCAGTACATGTCCAGGCCCGTCTGAAGTTTGCTAGAGTGCATTTGGATGATC